ACGACAATGGATGATGATTTTTTACGGAGGCCCACCTTTGGTGAGGTCACCGTATTGTATTCGACATTTTTTTTTGGAAAATTTTTTTTGCTTAAATATGCTTAAAATAGCATGAAACGTCGAGAAAAGTGGAAAAAATGGACTTCCATTTTTCCGTCGCCTTTCAACCCTGTCTGTCTGTATGTCTGTCTGTATGTCTGTCTGTAACTTTTTTTTTGTTAACTTTTCTGAGAATTCTTATCAGGAATTTTTCTGAGAATTCTTATCAGGAATTTTTCTGAGAATTCTTTCTAGAGTATTTCCGAGAATTCTTTTGAATAGGACGATCGGTGCGCGTGTGGGAGAGTGAGTGGAAGACCAAGGACAGTCGGAAGGTCCATGGACAGTCGGAAGGTCCATGGACAGTCGGAAGGTCCATGGACAGTCGGAAACTCCACACCGGCCGGAGTAACTTAAAATTATGCATGCATAATTTGAAGCTCCCCATGTGGAGCTTCCCCATCTCCAATTCTTGTATTTCCATTCCTACACTTTAATCATTAAATTTAAATGCCATTAAGTCTTTTTTAAAAACATTAAATTTAATAAATTTCTTAATTGTAAAAAGTTTTCTTTTTTATCAAAACTCTCTACACGTTACTTAATAATATTTTTTCTTATAAAAAACGATAAAAGTTTGTAAATAGAGCTGATAAGATAAGAAGAATTGACAATTTATACGTCAGTTTAGCAGATGAAACTTCATCAATCCAGTCACGAAAATCATTCACAGAGTGATATTGAAGTGTGACAGATGATCCGGTGATGACACAATCTTTGTCGGTTATAACAAACCCATCAATGATAGATTCACCCGAACACATAATGGGAGAACCAAGTTGAGCACTGCACAATATGTTAGATCGCATATCAAGTAATGAACAATAAAGTTGAGGAAATGTCGAGTCGCAATATGTTGAATTAATAATTGTTGCTGCCTGTCTAGTCGGTGGCGTTCCGATTGATATGTCACACGAGCTGTTAGAAGACAATTCACCGAGAATCTTGGGAGGTATCATTGCAATATCAAATTCACCATCAATCTTTAAGATTTAAAATGAAATAACAATAGTCGTTCGCCTTGATATTCAAAAGATTTACCTCTAAGACTGCGATATTATTTTCCTTTGGTTGTTCAGAATTATATTCTGGATGGATGTGCTTATTCTTCACTAAGTAATTGACTTCAAAATATTCATTAATTAATATTTAAATTTATTATTAATTAAACAAATTTCATTTAAAATACTTGACGTTTCATTAGTTCCTGAAATTGTTACAACTTTCACAAGAACATCTAAAGGCGAAGAAGTTGTGGCACAACTTGCTGATGTCAGAACGTGGCGTGGAGAAATCACTGTTCCCATACAGCTTGGGATTTGAGTTTCAAAGTTCTGAGGCACATAGTTCATGATAGAAAGATAATTTGTGCTTTGACAGAATGTAATTGATATAAAGCTTAGAATAAAAACTCCAGAAATTAAATTAAACTGCATGATGATGGAATGAAACTTTATTTGTACACAGTAAATTATCGAATGAAACCAAGCCAAGCTTGTTTCGTAAAAGTTTTATCAAATAAATTGCTTATCAGTTCTCAAACAATTTGATTATTGACATTATACAATCGTAAAAAATATTTCGCCGGGTCTTGTCGAGTGTTTTAAAGAGAAAAAGACTGGATGAGATATTAAATCGTGCCTTCGATAGTTTTTCTCACATGTACATGTTGGTTGTGCGACAAATATAAACCAGTTAGTCATATGTTATTATTTATTATTATTAAGAACATTGTAGAGTTGAAAAATCTACAATAACGTGTTCGTAAGTGAGTCAAGGTCGAATTCATTTCGATGTATGATGTTCTTCACAACATGCAGAGAAAGAAAGATTTAAAACCAAATTATTCTCAAGATTTTTAATTCTAATTACAAATGAAAATTAATTCCTAATAACGATCAATATGAATTAAATTTACTGCTTCCATTACCAAGTTAATTAATAATTAAAAAAATGAGCCCTTGCCCAAGGTTTTTAATGCTAATCAAAATAAACATTTACTCAACTTTGAAAGCTCACATTCACATCAAGCTTAAAATATTCAAAAACTAACATAATAAATATGTCAAAATCATTAATAGTTTCAAGACATCAAGTGCGATGAGGTAACACAAAACTTTAACTTGTTGAATAATTTTTGCAATATCAGAAATCCTTAAAATAATCAAAAGTGAAAGCTCAAGTATTCACGCAAAAATGATCATGAAATTCAATTCAACTTGTTTGAAAACAAAATGTTGTGTCAAAGGGTAAGTTCAAATGATTGATAGACATGCTGGTGATTATAAAATAATTTTGATGGCACCATTTGCAGTAAACATTTAAAAGCTTCTTATACATAAATATGTAATTAAAGTTAAAAATATTTGCGATATTTCTCACGTTTTACTGCTTCTTCGTTCTGTCAATACGTTTTCCATCGACTTCTTGAGGTCCCCAGCGTTCTGATGGTCTCAATACTTCAATGAATGTTGTGTTGCCTTGAATAATGTCTTTGACATGTTTATATCCATAAATGACGAACGGACTGAGAATCAAAACACCGAAACAATATCCAATTGCATCAGCCCACCAAGGGAAAAGGTAATTTTGGAATTTTGTTGGCTTCAAGTTTGCCACATAAGTAATCGAAATTGCAGCAAGTGTCAAAGGTGTCAAATAAACCCAAACTGATCTCCAATAAGTTTTTGTCACTTTGGAAATTTTCATTTCCATTTCGTGTATGTTTTCAAATACTCTTTCGAATCCATAAATCCAGCAGAAAATAGCAATTTCAGCAAAGCCAAGAATGAAAATATGCCAACTTGCAGTGTGCCATTCGATCAATGTTTCAAGATAAATTCCACCGTTGCATGTCATTGGCAGGGCTGCAATGAAGCACATGATGCAAGTGCCGGCAGTCACACGCTTTTGTTGGTCTCTTAAATGTGGCCAATGATCGATGATCGATGAAGTGATTGTTTGCACGAATCCAAGTTGTGAGCCAAGACCCAGAATGATCATCATGAAGAAGAAGAGAAAAGCCCACAGTTGTGGCAATGGCATCAATAAAACAGCTTCAGGATAAGTGATAAATGTCAGCCCAGGTCCACTTGCAGTGACACTTGTTAATGGTACGTTCATGCTCTTCGAAAGGAATCCGAGAATAGCAAACACTACGACGCCATTGTAAATTGCTGTTGCGAAATTTATTGCAGACACGCTGACGGCATCAAAGTGACAATTGTTGGAGAACTGTGAAATTAATTTAAATCATTAAATTGTAGAAATATTTTAGATTTCATTTATTAACCTTGTTGTAAGAAGCAAGAACTATCAAAGGTCCATAAGCAGTTCCGAATGAGTAAAAAACTTGACTTGCAGCATTGCCCCAAACTTCAGCAGAACCCAAAAGATTCCATTCAGGTGACAGCAAATATAAAATTCCATCAGTTGCGCCTTCTAAAGTCAAGGCACGAATCAACAAAGCCGTCAAAACGATATAAGGGAAAGTTGCTGTGAAGTAGACAATTTTTCCCATCGATTTTACTCCTTTATAGAGAGAAAAGTAAGCCATGATCCATCCAAATGCTAAACACAACACGAGATGTGGTTGAGGCCAACCCCAATTTTCAGTCCATTTGGCATTTCCAAGCCCAAGAACATTTTCACTATGGAATTAAATTAATTAAATTCACTTTCTGAATTATATTCAAACTTTCAATTGATAATTACTAGAAGAATTCTTCAGCTGCAAGCGTTCTGTTGATGACTTTGTTGATTGGAATTGCGTGAGTTCCATTGAAGCAAGAAGTGAAGTTGAAAGCTTCCAAATTGTGCGCTTCACAAATACTTTCAACACTTTTGCATTCCTTTTGATAGAAAATTTCAGCTGAAGCATTTAGAAAGCTTTCCCCTCGACATTTGATATCTTGAAGCATGCTGTAACAATCTTGAATGTCACAAAGAATTATTTTTAAACCTTCAACATTTAATTTAATTAATGAAAAAACTAACTTTGCGAATTCCATTTGTTGTCGCAGTTTCCCCAAATTAAACTTGGGAAGAGCGAAATCCAAAGATAGTAAAATACCCATGAAACGACAATCATATAATAAATTGCCAGAAAGACTGTTGTTAACACAACACAATATCCGAGACCTTGAACACATAATGAAGCTTAAAATTCAGACTTTCCGATCATCACATGAATTTATTTGAATATTACCTTTGAATAAAGGAGAAATATAACTAAACGCTTTTATTGGTCCCAATCCACTGTATTGACCGATAACTAATTCAGCAAAAAATAACGGAAGTCCAATGACTAAAACCATGGCTAGGTAAGGAACCAAAAAGGCTCCGCCGCCACTTCTATAACACAAGTAAGGAAACCTCCAAACATTTCCAAGTCCAAGAGCGAAATTTACACACGCGAGTACAAATTCAATTGCATTTCCCCAATTACCACGCTCCACTAATTGAACAGTGGAAGCTGTTGTCGTATTTATTGTTGCTATTGATGAACTTATCGACGGCACTTCCACTTTTTTCGTATATTTCTCTTGCATTTGCATGACGAAGCTTTTATTTTATCAAAGATTATTAATTCATTGACATTGAACTTCAAAATAAGATTTAAATGAGCTCGATGAACGTGTCAACAACTTTATGCTTTTTTTAAATTTAAATATTTAATTCCGATCACTGATTTTAAGACACGCTCTCACCACTCGCGAAGCTCAAACCAAACTGAAGCTTTTTTTTTCTTAAAGGTGAAGATGCCAATAAAATTAATGCTGCTAATGTTTAACTGGTTTGTGTAATATTTTGGGTTGTGTAATAAACAGGTTTCTTAAGTTTCTGATAGATTTTGCGATCTTTCATCATAGAAATAATCGTTCATTTATATCTCGTGCTAAGCAAAAAAAGAATAGATTAATAGCACACAAAACAAAACGTAGACAGACACGATCACATTGTAGCACTTCCAGCACCTGCTTTACCAGGTATTTCTATAAAATCTTGATGTGTTTGTAAATTTATTCAACGTGAGTAAATATTTCATCCAACATAACGTGAATATTTCAATCCATCACAAACAGTCCAACGAACTTTTATTTATTTGCTGTTTTTATTGGTCGTCGATAGTAAAATTTTTATTTTGTTGTTTGCGAAATTTTTGTTTTTATTTTGTATTCATCTGAAGCAGTTTATTTGGTAGATACGAAAGGAATTGATCTTCGAAATTTGGTGAATGTAATTTATTTAAATTGATAAAATTTCTCGGAAGCCGCAACCTGTCTCTAGATTTTTTTTTTATATATTTATGATCGTGTTTCGAGTGTTCGGGTATTTCCCAATGACTTTGTATTCCAAAAGTAAGTACTTTAAATATATCTTAAAATAATATTTGTTCACTTGTAGCTGTTGTCTTACTTTACGATATTATTTAACATACAAAGAAAAAAAAAGCAATTTGCATATTCCAAGGGTTCCAAGGGTTGCAAGGTATTTAAAAACATTTATCTTCCAGACAGACTTGAAATAAATTTATTAACAACAATTCACTTGGGAATGAATTGCATTACATTGAGAAGTAAATAAAAGTATTGTTGAATTTGTTTACGTCATACTTCAAGTATTAAAAGCTGCTATGAGCTAGATGACTTGTGCTTCTGACATTGTTAATTCACTTCCATAAATACTTCTACCCAAGATATTCCCTTGTACAAGTAAAATATGATTAAAATTGAAATACCAAACTTATGTACATTTAAAATTTTTAACACGATTTAAACCAACTGAAAATGAAGTCAATATCAATGAACATTTTCAAGGGGATTAATTTAAATTCATACCTAACTTAAGTCAAATATAAATAAACAAGTAATTTCACCATTTAGATTAGATATCGTTGATTCACTGACAACCCTCACGGTTATTTTCTTAAGCTTTGATGTTCTTGAATTCTTTTTATCGCAATAATAAAAATTTAATACAAACTTTTAATCCTAAGATATAAAATAATTAAAATAATTACTCATTTACCATTTTTCGGTATTCCCACTGATAAAACATGATAAAAATTGATAATTGTAAATTACTAAACTTCCTGTAAAGTGAATTATTGAGGAATGAACTTTTTTGAACGTCAGTAAATTTATTTCGAGTTTAAAACAGCAAATTGTTTATAAAATGTTTTTCAAACATGTCAACAATGCAGCAAAAAGAAGGAAACCCGACACTTTGGTAGTCATCTCAGCACCAGCAGTTTCCCAAAGGATCCATGAACTGAAATCTTCAATGGAATGGTAATAGAGATAAGGTTGGGCAGCACTGCAACCGCCATTCAAAACCATCCCATTAACAACACGTTCATCCCCACAAACGAGAGGTGAACCTGGCAATAAACCGGGACAACGAGCAAGGGCTTCGAAGAAACCAAAACGCGAACAGTAAGCTTGTGTGTTGTCACCAGGGCAGGAGTCTGGACCATTCACAGTCACTGATTCTCGTCGAGGATCTGCAGGTCCATTTCCCCCTCCCCATCCATAAAGGAAACATGATTGACTGTCATTCAAAGCACCAAGAGAAAGTGATTCAAAACCATCACCGAACGATCCTTCAATCTGTAGGAATTTTAAAACTTATTTGATTTTCTGAATTATACAATTGAACTCACTTCTAAAACAGCCACGTTGTATTCTCTATTGCTAGCAAAATCTGGATGAATTCTTACAGTTGCCCGATCTGTAATTTTGTTGGAAATAAATTAAAATTCGTATCGGAATATTTATTGAAAATTTCGTACGTCTTATTGGAACCGTAGCAGTTCCATTAAAAGCGAGATATTGAACACCAATGCTTAGATCTGGCGATGTAACGTTCACGCAAGCAGCAGTTGTCAGAACATTTCGATTCGATATGATCGTTCCACCACACTTAACAGTTGCTGTCTCAATATTGCCAAATTCATATTCGATGACACTCACAACGAATCTTCCATTGCAAGTTTTTGTTAATAAAAGAAGAGCAGAAAATATCAGAAAAATATTTTTGACTTCCATTTTAATTATTTTAGTTATTTCTTCACTTAAAGTTCAACACTGAATGTCGGAAAATTCAAGAATGAATCAATTTATTTGTTGATTTAATCAGTAAAATGTTATTGATATCTTATCAGAGATTATATAAAAGTAATAGCAAAAACTTTAAATTTATTTATTTAGGCTTGAAGATGTATTAAACACGATACTGACGACGAATTTGTGTCCATTTCATGTTAACGATAGATGAAAAAAAAAGACTTTTAAATTCCATTTTTTTGTTCACTGAAGTTTTAAACTTGAACAATTGTGACGTGCAGCGAAAATTAGAATTTATTTGTTGACCTCATCAGGAAGTTCAACCGATAAGATATCAGTAAAGTGCAGTTGAATGTTCGGTTGAATGCAACTTGCAGCCACATGTATATTGCGAAAGCCAAATTTTATTTCTTAATTGCTTATCCTTATGAAATTCCATAGGTTTTCAGTCAAGTTTTTTTAAAAGAAAAGTTGATGGGAATTGAAGCTGAACTTTCAAAGCTTTAGTTGAAGAAACTTTTACTTAATTTTAAGAACGAGTCCTAAAATTAAGTCCTAAAATTTAATAACCTGACATTTACAATTGTGAACTCAAAACTTTCAAACTTTTTCATTTCAAAGTGTGAACCAATGAATCCTTCTCAATAATTGCGAAAACCTTAAAAAGTTGAAACAAAACTATTTAAGTTTTCTGCTTATGTAAGAACGAAAACGCCCATTTTTAACTTTTTCGAATGTCAGTAAATTTATTTCGAATTTAAATCAGCAAATTGTTTATAAAATGTTTTTCAAACAAGTCAGCAATGCAGCAAAAAGAAGGAAACCTGACACTTTGGTAGTCATCTCAGCACCAGCTGTTTCCCAAAGAATCCATGAACTGAACTCTTCCATAGAGTGATAATAGAGATAAGGTTGGAAAGTGTTACAGCCGCCATTCAAAACCATTCCATTAACAACATTTCCATCTCCACAAATGAGAGGTGAACCTGGTAGTAAACCGTTGCAACGAGAAATGACCTCCAAAATATTGAAATTCGAACAATAAGCTTGTGGGTTGTCGCCAGCGCAGGAGTCTGGGAAATTAACAGTCACTGATTCTCGTCGTGGTTCAGAATTGACAGCTCCCCATCCATAAAGGAAACATGTTTGATTACTCAAAGCACCAAGCGAAAGTGGACTAAATCTGGGTCGATCAAATATGCCATCAATCTGTGATTATTTAAAAGAAATTCTTGACTCAACAATTATTTGTTGAAAACTTCAACTTACTTCTAAACCAGCCACGTTGTATTCTATAGTGGCAGCAAAATCGGGATGAATTCTTACTGTTGCGTCATCTGAAAATTTGATGAAAACAATTGTAAGTTCAACTCGATTTAGATGTTAGAGATTCTAAATCACGTACACCTAACTGTGATACTTCCAACACCATCTATAGTGTCAACTTCGACAGCAATTCTGCGAGTTGGTGCTGCAATGGCACAAACAGCGGTAGTCACAACATGTCGATCTGATATAATCGTTCCAGCACATTTAAGAGTTGATACTCCAGCATTTTCAATTTCATATTCAACGACATTTACGATGAATCTTTCACCATTGCAAGTCATTGAAAGAAGAAGAACAGAAAAAATTAAAAGAAAATTTTTATGTTCCATTTTATTTATTTGTTCACTGCAAATTTAAACTTGAATGATTGAAGGAAGCAAAAAATTCCGAATTTATTTCTTGATTTAATCAGTAAGTTGTGACTGATAAGTTATCTAGGAATGGAAAAGATAGGAAATCAAATGATGGGTTTATTTTATTACTTGTTTTACGATATTTATCTACAAAGATTCTCGCTTCAAGCACGAGGATTTAAAAGAGATTATTGATAAAGAATTCAATTTATTTTTTTGAAAAAAAGCTCATAATATTTCCTTGTTTTTTTGACGATTGTGCTTTTGATGTCGTCGACTTCTTCGCTGGTGTCGTCTTTTTAACAACAGTCGGTGGTGAATTTTTCTTCTTATTTTCATCGTTTTCATCTTCAGATGCTGAATATTCTTCTTGAACACGTTCAGTCTTCATAAATCCATCTTCAGTCTGATAACGTTTTGTGACCCAACGCTTGCATTTACGTTTAACTTTTTCTGCTTCAACTTGAGTCTTTTCAGGTGAAGCTTTGCAAGGAGTCTTGCGTTCAGGTGTGAATTCACGATCAAACTTGATGAGTTTAGATTCTGGTTCTTCAGAATCTTTTTCTTCATCTTCTTGATCGTCATCACTAGAATCTTGCATGACACGAATTCTTGAACGTTTATTGTTGGCTGTTTCCTTTAATTTAATTGTTTTCTTTTTCTTTGATGCCTCTTTTTTCTGAGACTTCTTTTCTGGAGTTACAACGATTACATCTGCTTCAGGGGCTTTTTCTTCTTTCTTCACAACAACTTCCGAAGGTTTTTCCACCGAAGCTTTACTTGAACTTGGCTTGCTGTTGAAAAACGAGGAAATTGATCCTTTCGTCACTGGCTTTTGATTCTTTGAGTTGGCAGTTTTTGATGAAGCTTTTTGTTGAGGTTTATTAGGTGAAATTTCTTTGACAACTTTTTCTTCTGATATTGCGACAGGCTTTGGATTTTCTTTCTTGATTTCAACTTTGGTTGCTGGTTTAATTACATTGAAAGGAGTTTTGGCTTTTGGAGGCTCAGCCTTAGCGATTGGTTCTTGTTTAACCGTTGCTATTTTAGGAATATGAAGATCTCTATGATTACCAGCTTTCAACAGAATATTTTTCCTATTATTGAAGTTAAAATGATTAATTTTGTAAAACTTTATGAAAATCCTTCACTTACATTTTAATTGGCTCGTAATCTGGAAGATTTAACTTTCTGGAACTTGATTTTATCTCAACGCTGTAAATCCATGATCCAAAGTTTTTCCATTTCTTTTCTAGCAATGATTTCTTCTCTTTTGTAGCAATGCTAATAGAGAACGTTCCTTGAGGATTCAATCCCGTCACAAGATATTCAATTTCAATTTCAAGATCTTTTTTCTTGTTTTGATCTAACCATTTTGAAAGAACGTCTTTAGCAACATCAGTTTTTATCATCCAATTATTGGAAATTGTTTTCAACGTCACCTAAATGAAATCATTGTGAAATACTTTCATGATTTTGATGTAAATATTTTATTTTTTACCTTTTCACAAGAATCAAAGACAAGAGTTGAAATCTCTTCTAAACAGCTTTTCTCTGTAGTTGACTCCATTTTGCACTTGTAAAGAATAATTTCTGTACAATTTTCTACTGTTCTGAAGGCTGAAATTTGACAAATTTGATAAATTGTCTTCTTTTTCGATCTTTTGTTTACATGCGGAGAACTACTGCAAATGTTCCTGAAATTTGGCGCGAACTTAATTCACATGCGAATCACAATGCGAACAACATGCGAATTTGTTTTGAACCGTTTGAACCTTCTGATTGGAACTCTGGCAACTCAAATCAAAGAAAAATTCCTAATAAACGAATGAAAAAGAAATTCCTCAAAGCAAAAATAAAATTTTAAGAATTTTGGAAGTTATAAGCTTGTACAATAAACAAAAAATACTTTAAAACATAATTAAACTTATGGTGAATGTGTAAAGAGTGAAGTTTTCTTATAAAAAGTTGGCATAACCAAATGATTCGCACAAAAAGAAAATTGATGATTTGTCAGAATTAAAAATCATAAAATTTATTTTGTAAATCGTAGTTTAAGAGAAACAACAACAAAATAATTAAGATGTCATTTGTTGGAAGCAGCACAACTGGATCAGAACAAGCTCAAGCTTTTCTGTTATCCCTTCAAAATGATTTCCGCAATTTATCGGCCGAGACGAAGAAAAAAAATCCACAAATCAAAGAAGTAAGTAGAAATATGACAACCTTTATGGTTTTTGCTGTTTAATATTCAGCAAATGTCATGAAAGAAAAAAAAATCTTTCCTCATAATGATGACCTAACTGATTCTTCGTAAACATTCGTCTGCTAGATTCAAATTTCTTGTAAAGATTTTTGCGAGAATTTTACCACAATTTAGATCCAATTTGTGTTATGAATCAATTATTTATCTTTATGACAAATCCCAAGTGCCACATTATTCAACCTTTTTATCGTCTTTTGTTGTTCACACATTCCCGTTAGCAAGCAAAAAAAGAGAAAAATTGAAGTTTCCTGTTCTGATGTAGCCAAACAAAAACAATTTTCAAACGTCACGATTTCATCATTTTATCGCTGCTTTTTATTTATTATTGCATAATTCTTTTAAATTATCACAAGCACTTCAAAATCATAAATCAATAATCATTCATTTCTAATCTCCATCATTAGTTTTGTCACAGTCATCGATTTATGACAACCGAGAAAAATTAGAAGAGTTGTATGATGAATAAATAATCGGTCACTGTTGATTTAGGGGCTTGGCATTGTTTACATTTATGTTAAAGTAGAACTGTCGTAGATATCAAATGTCCAATAAACATTGTTGTTGTTCCCTTTTCAGTCATGTGAAGAAGCTATTCAGAAGCTCAAGTCAGCGGCTGCAAACCCACAAACACCTGTCTATTATGTTGTCAATCAAATATTATATCCACTCGTGCAAGGATGTGAATCAAAGGACTTGAAAATTATTAAATTTTGTCTGGGGATGATGCAACGATTAATAACACAACAAGTTGTTGATCAAAAAGGCGCTCGTTACATCACTGACACTCTTTGGATGTTGATGGAAAATGGAATTGAAGAAGTTAAAGTGTTGCAAAGTGTGACACTTCTTCTAACAACAAATTCTGTTGTTCATGGCGAGACATTGGCGAAGACACTCGTGTTATGTTTTCGACTTCATTTCACAAAAGATTCAACAACAATAAACACAGCTGGGGCGACTGTCAGACAACTCGTGTCGTTGGTATTTGAACGTGCAATGATGGAACAAGAAGAATTCAAAGATGAACCACCACGTGAAGTGAATCTTGAAGAGTTAAAAGCATCACATGGAATCGCTCCAAAAGGACTCAAACCATGTGCAGCTGACGCGTTTCTACTTTTCCAAGATCTCGTACAACTTGTCAATGCTGATCAACCTTTTTGGCTTCTCGGAATGACTGAAATGACAAGAACATTTGGCCTTGAACTTCTCGAATCAGTTCTTACCAGTTTTGTGACAGTTTTCTATGAAAATCCTGAATTTTCCTTCCTTCTTAAAGAGCGTGTTTGTGCTCTCGTAATTAAGCTTTTCTCACCAAACATCAAATATCGTACAGTTGTTGTACCAACAACACAACCACCAGCACCACATGACAAACCATATTTTCCTATCAGCATGCGATTGCTTCGCGTCGTTTCCATTTTGATTCAAAAATATCATCAACTACTCGTCACTGAATGTGAAATTTTCCTTTCATTGATTGTGAAATTTTTGGATCCTGATAAGCCGACATGGCAACGTTCATTGGCTTTGGAAGTTCTTCATAAAATGACAGTTCAACCAGAACTTCTCGTCTCATTTTGTCGATGTTACGATCTCAAAGATCATTCAACAAAAATCTTTCAAGACATCATAAATTCCCTCGGTGCTTACGTTCAAAGTCTCTTCGCATCATCACAAATGATTGGAGGTGGTGGAAATTTACAAACAACGCCACCAGCAATGATTGCAGGGCTTCCAGTCGGTCCAGGAATGTCACCGCAATCAGGATTCTTCTTTCGAGGTGTTTGGCTGCCACTTGTCATGACTTTTCCAACCGGACAATCAAAATCGATTTATCTTGAGATGCTTGACAAACTTGAACCACCAACAATTCCTGATGGTTATGGAATTTCCATTGCTTATGCATGCTTGCTTGATATTGTTCGTTCGATTTCATTAGCAATCAATGGACCGTCAATTCTTGGTGAAGAGAAGCCAATTCCATATAAGAATCGTGTGACAGAAGACGATAAAACACTTCATTGTCAACTTATCAATTCAAGTTGGTGTGGACTTCTTGCCGCTCTTACGCCACTCATTGACGCCAGTACTGATGAAGCAATGGCTGAATGTGTCTTAAAATCAATGCAAAATTACGGCGCACTTTGTGGAATGCTTGAATTAAGTACACCAAGAGACGCTTTCATTACATCAATTTGTAAAGCTTCATTGCCACCACATTATGCATTATCAGTGCTTAACATGGGCTACAGTAATATGAATATCAAAGGAAGTGCTGGTGGTGGACATATGAGAGCTGGCAGTCAAGACATGAGTAATCAATTCATGCATCAACAGCAACTTCATGATGATAATCAACAAAGATTTCCAATTGTTGCTGTTGGAACGCCATTGCCGACAAGTTCACTTCAAGTTGGTGCACATCAAGGTCCAGTGATGTTGACAGCGAAGAATCTTCAATGCATGCGAGCAATTCTTCATCTTGCTCATTGTCATGGTGGCATTTTAGGATCGTCTTGGCATCTTGTGCTTGCGACTTTGCAACATCTTGCATGGATTCTTGGACTTAAACCATCGACTGGTGGAAGTTTGCAAGCAACACAAAAGCCACCAACTGATGCTAATTCAATAACACAAGTTATGGCTGATCTTCCAGTTCTATCAACGATGTTAAGTCAACTTTTTGAGAGTAGTCAATATTTGGATGACGTCGCTTTGCATCATTTAATTGATGCACTATGCAAATTATCGCATGAAGCGATGGAACTCGCTTATAATAATCGTGAGCCTTCATTGTTTGCTGTTGCAAAGCTTCTTGAAACTGGCTTAGTAAACTTAAATCGAATAGAAGTTCTTTGGCGTCCATTAACGAATCATTTGTTGGAAATTTGTCAACATCCACACATAAGAATGAGAGAATGGGGAGTTGAAGCCATCACGTATTTGGTGAAATCTGCTTTACAATATAAATATGAAGTTCCATTGAAAGAGAATGCAAAACTTCAAACACTTTTACTTGGACCGTTAGCTGAATTGTCGAGTGTTCCACATGCTGATGTTCGACAAAGACAACTCGAATGTGTTCTTCAAGTGTTGAATGGAACTGGAGAAATATTGACACATGGATGGCCGTTGATTTTGGGAATTATTGGAACTTTTAACGATCATCATAGTGAAGCTTTAATAAGAATTGCTTTTCAATGTCTTCAACTTGTTGTCACTGATTTCCTTCCGGCAATGCCATGGCGATGTTTGCCACTTTGTGTCAACACAGCAGCAAAGTTTGGAAGTCAAATGCAAGAGTTAAACATCTCATTAACGGCAATTGGGTTGATGTGGAATATTTCAGATTATTTTAATCAAAATCAAGATCGATTAGGACAAAATGTTAATGATGAAGCATCAGTTTTGCCTGATTTTCCTCACACACTTAACATGCCAAATTTTGATAAACTTTGGATGTGTTTATATGCCAGACTTGGCGATCTTTGTGTAGATCCACGGCCAGCTGTAAGAAAATCAGCAGGTCAAACATTATTTTCAACAATAACTGCACATGGAAGTCTTTTGAATCCACCAACATGGCAAGCGGTGATGTGGCAAGTTCTCTTTCCGCTTTTAGATAAAGTTAGAACTGCATCGAATGCTGCAAGTAGTGAGAAAGTTGATACAAGTGGAAATATTTTAATTCATCATTCAAGAAATACCGCGCAGAAACAATGGGCAGAGACACAAGTGTTGACTTTATCTGGTGTTGCCAGAGTGAGTTTAATTAAATGCTTAAATAAATTAGTTTTTCATTCTCGTCATTTTTCAGGTTTTTATCACCAAATTTAAATTATTACAATCGATTGGTGATTTTCCACGAGCTTGTTCACTTTTATTAGAATTCATCGAATGTTCAGCACTCAGCAAGTCTAATGAAGTGTCATTGGCAGCTTTAAAATCATTCCAAGAAATTCTTTACAACAAACCAATTAATTCAATTAAAGGAAATGGTGAAGATGAAGAACTTTGGAATGTAAGTTTTCCCGTTTAAGTAACGTTTTAAAATTAAATAAAATAAATATTTACAATTTCAGGGAGCATGGCGTGTCTGGTTGAACATCGGCATGGAAAGCACAAAATTTTCATTCTCAGAATCCGACAAGTTATCTGACGATCTTTACATTCCAAGTCAAGCGTTTCTTACAGCACTCGTTCAAATTTTCCCCGCACTTTTTCAACACATTAATTCGCAATTTACGAATGACGATTTGCAGAAACTTTGCGATGTATTGATGAATGCTGTAATGGTTCCTGTTCATAGTGACTCAACACCTTATATCATGAGTACAATGTCGGACTCACTTCTTACACCACTTCATGATGGTGTATTGGATTGTATGGAATTGTTACAAAAAGAAGCAACAACTAACAATTCAACTCCATTGAAGACAATTGTCGTATCTGTGTTCAAACAACTTTTAAGCTTCAGCAAATTCGCTTGTTCACCGCCGTACTTTGAAAGTCGAAAGAGAAATGGACCAGCAAACTCTATTGAATGGGTCAGCATGAATTACATTCCATTTGGTGAGAAATCATTGAATGTTGCTGTCAAACTTTATCAACAAACAGCAAATGATGATCGAGTGATAGAAGGACAAATTCTTCATGAAATAGTTAAAGCTTTGTCACTTCCACTTGGATTAAAATATAAATGTATGTCGTCGAGTACATGGAAGTTGGCAGTTACAAGTTTAATGTCAGTTCTTCATTGGGGCCTTCCAGTTGCTAGAAAACATCCCAAAGAGTTTGCGAACATGTGGAATGATTTATCTGACACACTCGATAAATTTTTGTTTCCCAAAAGGTAAAATGACTTAGTTGTGAGCCCTGGCTCAAATCGTCATTATAAAAGTTTTTCATTATTTTATTTTAATTTATATTTAGTGTCTGTCAAGTAGAAGATCGTGGTCTCGATGAACTAGTTCTTGATGAAGCCATCGATTGTCAATTGATTGAGCAACTAAGAGATGAAGTTTTGCCTTATTCTGGTGAAATTCCTCATCAGTTTATATTGAAAGTTGTGGTTCTCTTGAATAAAGGTTCAATTCATTCAGCAACTGCTGCTGCGCCTGGTTGCGAAACTGAAATGAAACTTCGTGAGGAATTTGCGAAGACATGTTTCGAAACATTATTGCAATTTTCACTGCTTGATGATAGTGAAAATAGAGGTGATAACACAAGTATTCAGCTAACGAACAATGAAGGTGGAGTAGCTGGTCAGTTGGCAATCACTGCACTCTTACATCGATTTGAAGAAGTTCTTAAAAAGTTCAATGATGATGAGCGTCAAAGCGGTAAATGTCCTCTGCCTCGATATCGTTTGAGTGAGATTTCTTTTGTGTTGAAAGCAGTGGCAACTCTTGTAATTTCCATGAAGAAAGCACCACCAGAAAAAGGTAAAATTATGAAAAATTAAATAGAATTGTTAGAAGTTTAACACTTTTTTATGCATAGTTGGAAAAGTTGCATGGGAACAACTCATCAATTTGTATCCTTATCTCGTCGATTGTACTACAACCTCATCAGCAGAAGTTTCACGTTCACTTCGTGAAGCTCTTCTGCAATTCTGTGATCTTCTTCAGCCGCCAGCAAATTCAATCGTTCTCAATGGTAGCAACGTAACTTTCAATGGTTTATCATCAAGTCACTGCTAACAGAATCGATTTCAATTTACGCAAGGTTTTAAATTTTTTTGAGCATCTATAGAGTAGAAAAAACGAATCGAAAATTCAATTAAATTCCAATTCTGATTCCGAACGATAATGTGAAATATATTAAGAAATATCTTGAAAAGAAGCAATTAAAATTATTTCAGGAATGAAGATTTAGATTTAAAAGAAGTCTGAAAAATCTTCTTAATAACAAACGAAAATTATTTAAGCAACAGACGACTAAAGAAACTTATCCTTCCTTTCTTTCATCAAATCGGAATTCTAACCAATAGAATTATTAGATGTAGGCTTTGACCATCTCCTTTGACCGAAAGTGTCAAGTAGTTAGAACTGATTCGATGCCAATAATTTCATCTAATGAAGAATTTAGTAATTTTTGATTTAAATAATTTTTTGTTTAGCTTAACGAAAGTTTTCGTGCAATCGGATTTAAAGATCATCATCAGCCTTAAAACGTCACTCTTCAGACAATATGTAAGCACCCCAGACGATGGGAATGATTCAAAGTTCATCGGATGAAAAGTTTTCTTTTATAAAATGGAATAAAATTAAGCCAAAAATATTATTATAAAATTAATTATTATTGTTCAAAAGAAAATCTAAATATTTGATAGGAAAATAATATTTTCTTTCTAAAGTAAAGAAATTTTTTGTAGAAATGATGAAAGTTTTATTCGTTCTCATTTGTAGATGTGATTTATGATAATTAAAATGTTTATAAATATCTTTAACCATCTAAAAGTTTTTCTTTGTTTAATTCTTACTCAACATGTTTTGAACTTGAAATAAAATAAAATATTAGAAAACATAATGAAATTTTATTAATTTCTTAACTTTTCATAGGTTTAACGGTCAGAAGTGAATTCACTTTTGGACACTGCTTAAGTTAAGTTATCTGCATACTTGTCATAATCATTCCAATAAGATTCAACTGAAGCCTTCATTTTTGTGAGTTAAGTCAAAGAGAAAAATTTACATAAAAATTTTGTAGGTTGAAGCGTCAAGTCGTGAAAATTTTTAAGAAATTTCTAAATTAATTTTAAATTAAAATGAGAAAAAAGAAAGGAAAAAAGGAAATCAGTGTAGTTTCTTATCATCCACTTTATTATTGGGATTCAGACATCATGGAATTAATTCTACAACATTTAACACCGGCGGAATTGCTGACATTGTCGGAAGCGTCACCAGATTTTTTCAATTACCTTTTGGACTGCAAGCAGTTTCGCAATTGTGTGAAGTTTGGAATCAACACGAATGCAAATTGTTTCGTCAGTGAAAGAGCGTTTGGAAAATTTTTGGCTAAGCTAAGGCGAAATTACGATGCTTTACATTTAAAGAAAACTGATTTGGTGCCGAAACTACCTGCGATTGTTAGGAATATGAAAATGTCGGTTAAAGAATTGATCGTTGAAGATATGACTTTTAATCGACCGATATTAATGCAGAAAGTTATAAATTCTGTAAAGGATACAGTTGAAAAGCTGGTGCTTAAAAATATTCTGATTTTTAATTGCGACAATGTTGTAATAATGAACTTGAAGCACTTGAAACACCTCGAAATGATAGATTGCAATGACAATGAAAATGCTTTCGTTAAACGAGTTTCTTTCCAAATAAATTTCTGCAAGTTTCTTGAATATTTGAAGTTGCATTTTGCTGGCGTCAGTGCAGAAAACACAGGAACTCTTCTTCATGAAAATCCTAACATCAAAAATCTCACACTCGCTGATATTCGTGAGCCATTCTTTGATGATTTCAAGAATATAAAAAATCTTAAAATCGAAGACTTTACAATAACTTTCTCATCATCAAATCGTCTTCGACCAAAGCCATATCTGGTTGAGTTTCTGGAAGTTCATTCATCGACATTAAAGCATTTCAACACAAATTGTTACGTCAATTGTGACCTCTTGAATTTCTTATTCAGATTACCAAACCTTGAGACTCTCCGCATTTGTCGTTCGCTGAAATTCTTCATCTGGATGGATTCTATTGAAATGAAGTACCGATTGAAGGCCAGTAAATCTTTAAGGGAATTGATACTGACTGATGATCTCACACGACATGAACTCATATGGACAACTCTGATCGAAAATGCACCAAATCTCAACCACTTCCAAATGTACAACTCAAGGTATTGTTCAGTAGAACGCTTTTGTCAATAAAATTTCCATTTAAATGAATTTATTCTTAGATTGAATAAACTTCCTAGGCAGACATTTTTTATTTCTGTGTTTTGTGCATCATAAATATTTTTTGCCTTGATAATGAGATGTGCAAATTGACATTCAACTCAAATCACGAATGCGAAAATATTTCGATTGTGAAATGTAAATTTTTGTTTTGTGTTTTGAATAAAATAAATTTTTATGGGCCAAAACATTCTTAGCTAAGTTTTTTTTTTGCGAAGTTTCACGTGATTGTCAAATCAAAACGACCGTTGCAATTGTTCAGATCGTTGCAATGTTCTGTTAAGGTTGAAATTTCTTCTGGCACATTAGGTATAGGTCGACAATTTACGAGACAACAGGTAACAATCGACTTCAGGTAGAAAATAATAAAAGTAATAAACACCCACGCATACAAATTTTTAACTAAACATTTCTTTCATTTATTTCTTGAGAAAATCTTATAAGAAATATTTTCAAGACATCGATTACAAATCTTTGAACTAAAAACTTATTTCTATTTACTATCAAAAAGAAAGCAAAAACAAAATCTTTAATTTGTAAAAATGTTTCAATCATTAAATGAATTTTTTTTGTTTTGTTTTTTGGATCGAAGAAAAGCCTTAAAATCTATGTACAATAATTAAACTTGGTCTCACATAATTATGAATAAAATTAAAACAGAATAGAAATGAAAAAGATTTCAATCAAAAGTGTTATAAAATGTTTGCTATCAAATTTATCACCATCGTCATCAAAAAAGAAAATTGTCGTTTCGGTTTACGATTTATCATGACTTACATTGAAGATCTTGCGAAAATTAATGTAAGAAGTTTTATGGCCACTTTTTATTTACACTTTAAATGAGATTATTGAATTAATTACGAAAATAGATTAAGAGAATTAAGAAAGCTTAATTAACCAACGACAAATTGTGTAAGATCAGGGAATTTGAAACCTTGGAAAGAAGCTGATGGTCTCGAGCGAGCTACTCGTGGTGGCGGTCGTAAACCAACAGTATCTCTTGATGACTGTCTTTGAAGCACTAAACCACATTGCGTTGCACAAACATCGTCTCTTAAAATGACCTCACGTGGCCATTCACGAGCAAGTTGAGCACAGTCAGTGATTCTTAGAGAAGCACATTGTGGCTGAAAAAAACATCATCAGAAATGAAATAAAATTAAAACTTCTTTTACTCACTCCATCGTTTGTACAAATGCAACTTGTGCATGGACTTGGAAAAGCTGATTCACCGACGCTGACATGTTTTCCTCCAATTGTGCATCCTTGGACAACATTTTCACGCCATGCACTTAAATCAATGTGTGGCATTGAATGACATGGAACTCGTGGATTTCTAATCGGGAAATTTAATTATTAGGTAATCAACTTATGATAATTAATTAAAAATTATCTTACAAGAAATTGCTTGGCAAATCAAAAGCAGCTCTTTGCATGTCTCCAGGAACATCCAAATTATCGCAAACAATTTTCGCAAGTGTCGTCTTTCTAATTTCTGTTAATTGTGCTTCAGTAAATCGAACTGTTGGATTTTCATTTTCATACCTGACAATAAACATTAATTTAATTAAAATGATTAATAAAATTTACGTTTTATTTGATTCTCACCAGAAACGATCACATTTTCTCAACTGTCTGAATTGGATAGCAATGATGCATGCAAATGTTGGGCCAACTAATCCACCTTGTAATGGACGTTCAGACATTCCACCTGCAAATCATTTAGAAATGTTTAAAATTTCTTTCACAGCTAATTGAGAAATTTCCTTACCTGGGAACAAATCAATGTCATCAACAGTTGGATAAATTCTCTTAAAGCGATTAATAACTTCAGGTGGAATTTCACGTGATAAATCATCCCAAGTTGTAGCTCGCTTCAAGTTACATAAACTACGATAATTATTATAAGATGGAATTCCATGATCACGTGCTCTTTGAATATTTAAAGCAATTAAATCAACACCGGAAAATGGAATTTTTCTGTCTTCAAACAAATGATTTGTAACTTCACCGGTGATAAATTGGTCGAGTGTTTCCATTGGTGTTGCAACTAAACCACGTGAAACTTCATCGATCATTCCAGCTTGAAGGAACATGTCGGGCTTGAAAAATCCATCACGAAGAAGAATTGGTGGATCAATTGGTTGGTGGTTTGTTCCCAATCGTGGAATGTGTGGTCGTAGAAGTGAATGACCAATACGGAAAGCAGCTGAAGCAAATTCAGTGACAATTGCTGGATTACATCCGGGATTATAATCTTTATAATAACCTTGTGGCAATAACTTCAATCCATATAAATTCACAGCATTCCAACTTAAAATTCTGGGCAAGAATTCGTTATAAGTGATGTGTTGATTTTGTGCTGAAATAATGCGACGTGCATGATGGAACAATTGTTCACCAGTCCAATGTGGATTAACACCACGAAGTCCCTCAACAAGTCGATTATGCTCACGTAGGAATGTCGTATGAATTGCAGTCAAACCTGGTTGTTCAGATGCTCGACCATCTCCAGCAATGAAACATTGACCAGATGGTGCTTTACATTCGGGATGTGTCGGTGATTGTGGCAAAAGTTCTTTGCCTTTAACTGGATGAATTGTTGAATTCATTCGACCAGAAAATCCACGCAACTTCTGACATATACAATTGTTTTCACCATAAACTTGTGAAGCATCTAAGAACGCGGTATTTTGATTGATTTGTTCTCGTGGTCCAATTGTTTGTTGTCCTGGAAGCGATCTCATGAATGGGAAACATAAACGTTCGCCACTTGTCACATTAACTTCGGGATAGAAATGATCGCGTGGTGGAATTGGGAATGGAAGACATTCTTGATGAACTGTTCTTGGTGAGTCACATGAACGACAACTGGGAATTGATTCATGGAAACCTTTGTGAATCGGTGTCATTGTTAAATCGTGATCAAGAAATTGTGCGAATTGCATTGTCATGAGTGAATAACGCGTATGAAGATTGGAAATGTCTGGATGGATGAGAGTTGACACAACTCTAGGATTGGGTAAAGGTGAACCATTCGAAGCAGTTGCACGTGGTCTCTTCACACCATCTTCATAAACTGATGGAAGAAGTCGAGCAAAAACTGTGAGTGACTGACCGAGTGATGGATTCTTTAAGTTGTTACAATAACCAGTGAACGTTCTGAAAGGTGTCGTTGTATCGCAAGCTGCTGTCAAGTCTTCACATTGCGGCTCTAAAGTGATTGACGAGATTGTTCCACTCATAAATGAATTGATGTCAATATTTTGAAGACTATTCACGAAATCATCAGCATTGTTGAATTGATTGTTCAGATTATTGTCGAAAACTTGACGCTTTCTTCGTCGAATGCTGTGAAGTGTCATCAGCAATTCATTTGTTGCAAGTTCGTAAAAATGTGAAGAATTTGCAATGATCAAAGCATTTCTGTTTGCTTTGCTGAATGATGCAGCAGTTCCGTCTGGTGATCGTGCATCAATTCCACCTGATGTCATCCACGATTCATATTCCATCTTCTTTCTTGCAATCAATTCATCTTTGGCTCGTTTCAACGCTTCTTGAACTGTCTCTGAACTTAATTCTTCTAATTCTGGGACTTGTGTTTCTGATGTTACAGAATCTTCTAAACTGTCTTCAACAACTTCAATCTCTACAGACTTCCATGGATTCAAATCTAGTCCCGATAAGTGATCACATGTAAGGCGTGCATTTAAATAAGGATCTTCACGAATGAAAGCTTTTGGCTGTGACTTTGTAACTCCATTTGCAGCACATAAAAGACCCGCTAATGACACACGTCTGACAGCTTGTAATTGATCGAGATTTAATGATGATGGCGGTAAATCATTTTCATACCAGAAGCGATCACTTTTTCTTAAGTTTGAAAATTGAATTGCAAGCAAGCATGTCAGTGTTGGTCCAAAAACTGTTCCCAATGATGGCTTCTCAGAAAGTCCGCCAATAATCAAATCAATGTCAGCGGGATTTCTGTAAATATTTTCTTCATAAACAATCATTCAAACATTTAAAACAACTTTAAACTTACTTGTAAATATTTTCAAGAACTTTCCGACGATCTGAAGCAACACCAATCGACTCAACATCTTCATAGGTCAAATTGGAATCTTTTGACAATCCAAATCGTGCTTCACACAAGTTTAATGCTTTGTGATATGCTGGAATTCCATGATCACGACCTCTTTGAATTGCTAATGCCAAAGGCGTCCACTCATCATCGAAAGTTTGATGGAATGGAATGAAATTTTGTTGCAAAGCTGGTGTGCTGATTAATATTTCAGCAGATGCTGTATCGCTCATCATGTCAGCTGGTAACATGCTGTAGAAAGCTGGAAAAGCACTCACAGCAGCTTCATTAAACACACCAGCACGGTTAACACTCGAATAACCAGAATAATGACGTCCCGAAAGAAGTCTAATTAAAAATAAAAGAAAAACTTCAATTCATGACAACTTTTAATCATTAAAATTCTCACCTCAATTCTTCTTTTGTTATAACTTGTTGTCCAAGAACAATCGGTAAGAATTCATTGAAAGTAATGTGTTGAATTTGAGCGATAACTGCACGACGTGCTTCTAAGAAAATGACCGTGTCACTCCAACCTTTGTTGAGCTTTGAAAGTTTCTCAGCAATTCTATTATGTTCTTTAAGGAGAATGACATGAAGTGCGCCAATCGCACCAGCTTCATTACATCGAGCACATGCTTTGATGTCAACTTTTCCATTTGAAAATGTTCTTAGTGCAAGAAATTCTTTCTCCGTTGCACCATAAAGACCGGAACCGTCAATGAATCCAGAAGCAGCGTTCATCTGTTCACGATATTTAAAAAGACAGTCTCGGAACTCTCGTGACGGTACTGATCTCATGTACTCTTTACATTCTTTGCCTGATTGCACAAAACATTGTACTAAATCTTCAGATATTCTTGAGTTATTATCGCAACATTTGTATTGCGATCGTGGCGAAATAACTTGGAAGAGATCATAGGCCAACAGTTTACCCCATGCTGGGAGCATAGATGTGATGTGAGGATGTTGTGCGTCTTTGTTGATTGATTTTTGCAGATGTTCAATGATGTAATCGGGTGATGGAAGTGCATGATTGTCAATTGACGTTCTTGGAGCGCTTCTTTTATCAGCGTAATCAGGTGACAACATTCGCACGAAAATATCACCGCGTGCACCATAATCACGATAATTCACATTGTTACATTCACCTGTCGGTGAACGGAACTTACTTGGGGGGCATGGAGTTGTGTCAGTCTCAACTTGACACTCTTGATTAACAATTGACTCTGAGCGCTCTAACAACAAAGCTGATCTCGCTCTTCCACGTAAATCTGATGAAATTGTGTCTTGTAATGCTAAGATGATGACTAGTTGAACACTGAAATAAGATAATTTATTGTTTTATTGCAATGAATAAGCAAAACAAAAGTTAATTGTCATTTAAAGTTCAAATTCTTTCTCAGTTCACGAAGCAAACAGGTTTCCTGGTTGTCCATGTGTTGAAATCTTTCGTTTTGTTTCTTTCAAATTTGATTTGCAATGCAAAAGTTATGTTAATTCACCATCTGATCATTTTGATCGTGTGATGGCATCATAAGATTTATTAAAAATAGTTGTGTGGCGCCAGCGAATGTTGACGGAAAAATTTATATCTCTCTAGTGTCAAAAGTTTTAAGACGATGTCAAGGGAAATGAAGGGGAATTATTCATAAGATGCGTCAATTATATAATGTCGAATATCTTTCTACGATTTTTCTGAATGAATGTTCAGTTATGAAATCAAGGTTATCGTGAACTTCAAATATGATTAATTATTAAGAGCTGTTGATGATTATGACGATCATAATGTGTAAGCGAATTTTCTTCTACGTTTTCAATCAATACAACTTCAATGCGATATCTTTGTAGAGCGATTTCCATTTTTTTTAACTTTGAATTAACGACAAGTAAGTTTATTTTCTTGAATGTCAATTGCATACTTTTAAACAGCAGTTGAATCTTCATCAATTTACATTCCGGATCTAAATCAAGTGTTTACGTGAGTATGATTAATTTTTATGTCAGTTGATTTTTCTACTCGTTTCAACTCTTTGTACTTAAAACTCCAAAAACAAAAATTTAGTGTAAAGTTTATTTTATTTTACGAGTATCTGTTGGCAACGAAAACAGCTCGATTCCAGTTTTCCTTTTACTTTTTACACTTTTGTCGTTCGGTTATAAAGTCGATTGTCTGGTAAATGCAAATGCTTAAATATGCATTTCGTGGGCTTAAAATGGGCGTTGAATGCGATGTTGCCAAACTTCATCCTAATGAATATGTGAAACTGAAAGTGGTTTTCTCGACGACAAGATCAATGACGTCATTAAATCACGATTTGCACAGCTTAGACGTTAATTGAAGAATAAATCATCTGAAATGTACAATTGTCTTCATATTAATGTGAAGATGACTTTTTCTTCTGTTTTTGTGTGCCTTCATCACTCGTTTATTTTTAAAGGCATTTCATTTTCTTCTTTTCTTTTCTTTTCTTTACCGATAGTGAAAGTGCAATATCGAACTTTGGTCTGTGAGCCCACAATAAGGGAAAAGCAGCATGCGAGATTGAGCTGATTAAAATTCATTTTATGTGGTTTTAAAATGTTACTTTTTAAACTAGATTGAACTAGCTTGATAGCTATCGCAGATTTTCCGCAATCTTGAGTTTTTAAGACCGGAGGAAATTATGTGTGGCTACTTATCTTAATTATGTTAAAATGTGTAATAAATTTAAATAAATTACTGTAAGAATATTCGTGAGCAATCATTTTCTACTACTTTCATTTTCTGGTATGTTGTCTTTGTTCACTAAAACGATGAGTTGACCAAGACATAGTTAGCTAATTTTTATTTAAAACTTTTGGCATATTTATTTTCGTCATTCATATCAAAGATTTCCAATAAGCCTACGACAACATCGTGACAGATTATTCAAATTATTCAACAAAAAAAAAAGGAGAGATGGAGGAAGACTAAATTTAATTTTTCTTATCAATCATTGTTCAAAACGAAAAGAAATAAAATTTTCTCTTCAATTAGTGACAGTCAATAAAGTTTTTAACAAATTGTCATTTGCGGTCAAGTCGATTCAACCTTTTTTCATTTCTAATTGTCATTTCTCCTGTTACTTTTCTTATTTCTCTTTTCATCGGGTTTTTGTGTCACTGGAGATCAAATCGCAAACATTGCGCAACATTCGTCAGCGTGACGGTTGTTTGTGTGCATTCAAGCATCAGATTTTTAATCTCTTTCTCTTCTTCGTACTTTCGTTGAGTTTGTTTTGTCTGGGTGATTACATTATGTTCAAATAATGTGGACCATAGAAGATAAATAACAAAAAAATTCGTGTAAAGTGTTACGCAATCGAGAGAAGGTAAACATAGATTATGAAAGTTACTTTGCTGTCGTTAAAGTTTAAACTTCACGTCACACTTTTCACCTGACTTCACTGTTGGAACTCCCAAAGCTGCATCATCATTGGCTGATGATGTCGTGAGAAAAGTGCAGTTCCGAAACGTCGGCAAAAAATGGAAAGTTTTGAACAACTCCACGATAAATCTTCTTTAAGGAAATTCAAAAGTCTATTCATCCGAGAGTCGAGTAAATAAATCATCACGTTGAGTAGTATGAAGTGAGGCACACAAAAAAAAAAGACTCGTGAGTTTAACACGAAAAATGTATAAAACACTGACCTTCATTCACCTTAACATTGTCTCGTGAAGAGTTTTGAAGTAATTTCTAAAGAATTGAAGTATTCAAGAAGAAAAGAATTTCAACGCTTTTGTTTTTAGAGAAGGTGAAAATGCATCAAATCAGGCGTAGTTGGAACGATTTTTTGCACAGTTACGGTGAGATCGAACGCAATTTTATCGTCAATGAGCACGACGAGAGAAACTATTGGAGGGTTGAACATTCATCATTGGCAAATGTCAAGGTAAAAGCAGATTGAATCGGAAATTCTTTTGACAGCTCAAACTTCAGGAAGAAATCTTCAATTTTGTTTTGTTATTTATAAATCTAGACTTGCACTTTTTCTCTTTGCATAATTAATTCGGTCAAGCTTTTTGCTATCACCGAAAAAAAAACTCCATTAACAGGTTTTTGGCGTTGGAAATTGTATGTCTACGGAATGAATCAAAAAAAGTCCCACTTAAGGAAATTTCACTTTCAATTCATGCCATTGAGTATAATGAAACGAAAGACTTCATCTCGATGATGTTAATTGATGCGGTAAACATCAGATTGCGGAATCATTTTTTTTCGACTAACAAAACTAATGAAAACATTTTTTCTAACAAACAATGATGATGATCACGTGGATCACGATTTTCTTACATTTTAAGTTTTCTTCTTGTTTATACGATTTGTTAATTGACAGACGATGTCATCTTGTCGTAATTCTTCAGGATATTATGTACAATGCTTATTTGTAATCAGTTTCACATGACCAATTGTTACGCAAATTTCACAACAGATGAAACGTTTCGATTCGATTGAAACAATTAACGATGCCATTGGCAGTGATTTTTAAAAAGTTCGATTAGTAGTCAAACTACAGCTACAGACAAACATCTTTTCATCCGATCTCAATCTCAGTGAGAGTTCACAGACGGGGAAGATTTAAATTATGCAAATCTTATGGATTGAAAACTCGTACATTTCAACCATAAACATTTTTCAATATTCACGGAAAAAAATTAGGCATCACTTAATGTTTCTTCATTTATATTTTCAGCTGAACTTTCACTCGTTATTGTTGTTGGCCGCGCTTGTTCGCGCACTTCATATCATTAAAAATAATTTAAACCTTGACTTTTTGGTGAGAAGAAAATTGCGGATATGTTCGGAGATGTTTAACTTCCACATTAAGGTGTTGTCTTAAATGTTGTCAATAAAAATGATACAAGAAAAAGTTTCTTTATTTTTATTTTCTGACTTTTTAATCTCAAGTCAACGATAAGTGCGTTGTTAATTGAACATCAACATTTAACCTGACATCATTTCTGAAATATTCTTCAAAGTTAAAGCTCATAACGTAAATGTTTCTATTGAAGAAACAACGATCAAGTGAATTATTTAACACAAAGCATGAACTCGAATAATTTTTATTCACGAAATTTCTTCGAGTTGTGCAATTTTGACTGAGGAAAAATGCTTGGAAGATTTTAAAATAAGATTCTTAGTTGATCAAGCAAGTTTTTCTAAATATTTCAAGAATTTTGAAGGACTAAAAATTATCGATGATGAAATATGACAATCAAATATGAAATTCGGCCTTACAATATTTTAAGGTCGTTTAAAAATATTTTTTATGAAGTCACAATGATGAAATTTTATTAGAAATTATAAAATCATTAAAAGTGATTTAACATTATGGATAATCGAACCATGTCCTTGTTATGAATTTAATTATTAATCTTTAAGATGAAAATGTCAAACAACATTAAATTTCTATTCTTATCAAAAAGAAATTTTTCACTTCATAAAACTGGAACATAAATTAATTATGTTAACACTAAACCATAAATAATCGATAACAACAAAACATAATCATTACATCTAGTAAATTACTATTTCTTGCTACCATTTAATTTTAAACGCGATCGAAATAAACATTCAACAATCGATCGATTTATGTTATCTTGCATGACACGCAGAAGCGTTAAATGTTGTGTTGGAATGTTGTTGTTAATTGAATTAACACTCTTTATTAAATGAAAAAGTAGATGGATATGTACAAAAATAAGAAAAGTGGGCCAAATTAATCCATTGCATAGAAAGCGAATGTAATTCCAAACGACATAAGCGATGACAACCGTTACTTAATTTACTTTCTGTCGCATTTCATACTGAATTGTTTTAAAGGCGATAATGGGAGGTTGCGCTGATTCCACGCTCGGGTGATGCTTTATATTTTACTCTTAATTTCATTTGAAAGGCATTGGGTAACCGTGATTGTGTTTTATATTTTATTTCTCTTCAAACTGGAATTTGTAATGAAGTCAGTAGTCACAGTAAAATGATTTAATGTGAACATAAACAAAAGCATTGACGTGCATAAATTTCTTTCTTCAAAAAATGTTTAATTCAACTTATGAATAGAGAAAGAAAAGTTTAAAAACGTAAAATTTTCTATCTGAATTTAATCCAGCAGATTCAAGGTTTTGGATTAAGGTAAAACGTTTCATCTTTATGACTTTATTCAATATTCGAATTAAGACTTGATAGCTGTTAAGGATGAAGTTGCCCTTCGGGGACATCAAAGATGCTTCTTGAGAACAGAATTAAGTGATCGTGGAAACGAATGTTGCTTCTCATGAGAATTACCTACAAAAGCGAGAAAATTCAGTCGGATTTTTGGTGTCATGGCAAATATTCATTCGAGCTTTCAATTTTCGTACTAAGTTACTCTGCATAGTAAGCGATCAGAAGTTACTTTACTTATGGAATTAATTACACCTTAAAAATGGAGTTGTTTCCATGCCTTTCGTAACACTCCACAATAACTTCTTCTATCGTGACTTCCAAACATTACGTTGTTAAATCAATAAATGTAAAGAAACAGTAATTTGTTAGCAAACATGATTCTGGAAGTCAAATATCTTCTCAGCTACAGAGTAAACTTTGAATCTACTTGATGAATTAATCTTTTGATGGTCAAATCAACAATGTTGATTACAAAAAATTTTGAATATTTAAGCGCCTTGCTTATGGAAGTTTCTGATGATATAACAAAACTATTTGTAAAGCTTTTGTCATGAGCTGAAGTTAAACTGCTTCTTAAGATGGAGCTTCTTAAACTAAATACCAATCTAAGTAATTTTCCATACTTCAGTTCATCATCATTTCTTAATCTCCTTCGTACTTCAAGAATAACTTTTTTCCGGATTCTTTTGTTGTCGTCTTAAACTATTTTAATGACTTTTAAAATGTCTTGCATAACAATGCCTTTTCTTGATCTTTAATGAAATAAATATGAAATATACAAATATCTGAATAAATGTTTACTTTCCATCGTAAATTGATGTTTATATATTTCACGAGAACTTAACGGCATTTAAACGTTTAATGGTGGATTTTCCTAGCTGTTGAATCCCATTTTATCCGCATAACTTACAGATTATGATATTAATATTTTAATTTTATCGCTAATTTATTACATTAACTGCTTAATTAAACCGATCTGTCGAATTAAGTTGGTTATATCAACTTTCGATTTTACATTCAAACAAACCATCATGTAAAGACAATTTATAGATCATTGTTCATCATTGGGAATCTCTTTTTGTTTCTTCTTCTATTCACACGACAACTTTATTTGTCATCTTCATCTCAAACATTTTACTGATTGTTTAAGATTCCATGAATGTTACGAAGCATCATCGTAAAAAGTCCCAAACTTAAAATTTTCACACATTTTTTTGTTACTTCACAATAACTTCTTAAACTTGCCAAAATGATTATAATCAAAATATTTTCTTAGAACGAAACGTTACGATTGAAGTTTATTCGCAAATCATTAAAATCCATTCAAGTCAAGTTCATTCACATTGTGAATGAGCTTTTCATTTTTATTATTATGCTACTTCGTTTCTTCTCAATCTTTCGAAACAATTTTTGGCTTTTTTTTTGGCTGTAACTATGACTCAGCCATTCACTGACCGTTGAAGAGTCTTTTGAAACTTCTTGTCGTCATGACGGAAAAAGAGTTTGTCAACAATGGCGATCTCAAAGTCTTAATTTGATAAGTGTTTCATGGGGAGGGAAACCGAAAACGTTTGAAAAAAGGTTTTATTGACCTTAACCCAATACGCGACCAATACGTGACGAAATAAATGAAACTAAAGTTGAATTAAGTTGTAATTTGTTTAAGGTGCTTCTTAAACGACGACATGAATTCAAAATCTTTTTTTATTATTCAATGATTTCCTTGAAAGTGAAAATTTGATTTCGTTTCGATTTCTTTGTTTATTTTGCCTTTGCCGCAGAAACATTGGACTTGTTAGTTACATATCTTCAATTAACCCTGAACTACTTTTAAATTGCATTTCATTTCATAATATGATGCATAAAAGATCAAAAATTAATTGAACTGTACGTAATCACCAAAGAAGAATAATTTAAATGAGCTTTTATTTAAATGTGCTTCACATTCCTGTCAAGATGCCATCAAATATTCCATGGCAGAAATAAAAATTTAGCTTGGTACGATGATGAACTAAGAAATGATTGTAATGAGATTGCTTTTATGGAAGTCACGATTCTTAAACCTCGCCCTTAGATTAATAACAAAAAATGTGTTTCTCTGAAGTTAGAAATCGAATTGAAATTGCAAATGAAGAATTTCATTGCATGGCTTTTCTAATATTTCCACATATTTGTGCAATTCAACGATTAATGATGGGTAAACTATCTAATAAAGTCATAAAGTAAATTTATTCAATGTTACGTTTGTTTTTAAATTTATTTACGTAAAAACTTTTATTGGATAATGGCAAATGCATCATTTGCTTCCCACACGAAAAACTTCCCCAATGTTGTTATTGTTGAAGGTGTTGAAATAATAATGCACAAATAACAAGAAAATAATCATGGAAATATAAAAATAATTCGACAAGTTAGATATTTAATTTATTTTATATTTTCCAATGACATTGAAAGTACATTTCGTGTTTATTTGTTTTGTGGAGGATGAAGAAACAATGACAAGCTCAGATGCTCCAGACGACAATTTTTAATAAGCAAATTATTTTGGAATCTTCTTGAATAATTTTCTTTAAACACTTTTAAATCAAGTTTGGTCAAGCTTCACTGATATCACTAAAATTATTGATTATGTCATCACTAGTCACTTTATTTACAGTTTAAGCTCTTTTCAATTTTCTTCGAAACTGAAACTCAACGCTTAAGGAATCTTTTTGTAAATAATTTTAAAGAAACCAAAACTACCGGCTTTTTTCTTCAAGGTGATTCCGTCACTTTATATTCCAAAACTACTTTTTGAAGAATCTTGTTTTGGTTTAAAATTATCCGGAAAAACGACTGGAAAAATTTGTCATCGAATTTCGTTGCGACGATGTCTGACTAAGAAATAACTTAAGAAGCCTTGACGATCTTTTGACACGACGCGAAATGAATCTTTAAAAAAAAGAAGAGAATAAAGAAGTAAACAAGTTTCATATCTCTGATGAAATCGAAGAAGAAAACGAAGATTTTATCGTTATCAGATGCGTACTAATAAAAGAAGGAGGATTAGATTTTGCAACTTAGAAGCATGACATTTGAAATAGCTGGTCGACTATTGAATGTTTTTAACAATATAAGATGAGAGACTTTTCAATAAATTTGCTTACGTTATATTTGAAAAGAGTTAAGCAACGTGTTTGTGACTAAAACAAAAGCTTTTGCAATTCTGATCTAAAAATATCAAAACAAAAGCGTGAAATGTATTTAGATAATTAAGATCAACCCATAAATGGAACAACTAGGATGTTTAAAATGTCAGAGTTTTACGGTATTCGACAAGAATAGTAGATTAAGAAACCCGTTCCATCATAATACGAATATCAGATTATAAAATCATGCAAAGACTTAAATAGATGAGTTTGTACAAAATAAAGTTATAAAAAGGTTTTCATACCGTTGACCATAAGTCAGTCGTCAGAGAGTTGAGTTTCATGAACTCTCGACACTTGTTATTCTCACTAAATATTGGTGTGGGCCTCGCCGGAATTATTAAAAAAAGAAGAAGGTTAAGAAGAAACAAATCACGAAACCAGAATGTAAATTTGCTTGTTGTTTTTCGAGAATAAATTTAGCAGAATAAAAAGTCATTGAAAATCTTTAGGTTTGAAGAATCTTCGAAGGAATCTTCTTTATGGGTCTGTGGTAAGATAAGTTTCAGTTGAGATAACATACGACGAGGGAATGGGAATGCCAAACAAACAATGACACCGAAGAAGATAGTAACGAGAAGAAGTCTCTTCTTCATCGTCTGCCTCTTGAAGCTTTACGGGGAGAAAAAAAATTCCATGAATCTCGCACCACGCGCATTGTTGAAAATTTGTTAAGACGAATCGTGAGAGTATGAGATCCGGGTGGTATTTGGTGTTTTGATCTCGCTTTTTTCTTCTTTATTTTGGCACTTTCTTGAAGTCTCGAGAGGAATGTTTACGCTTCATACTGAGCGAGTTTTCATCGACTAATCATCAAGCTACTTAAATTCGTGATTAACATTGAAATTGAAAATTTTGCTATTTTTTTCCTTCGTTTTTGTTTCAACAGTTGCACAAGAATTTCATTTCCTCATCGATTGCAGAAATTAAAAGAAAAACTTAAAGAAGAGAAAAAAAAACTTTCATTCGGCTTCGGATGTCTTCGAAAAAAATATTTTTTCGTGTTTCGTGCTTTGATCAAAGGAGAGAAACGTGTTTTCTTTTTATGAACGGGCAGCAGACTTTAAATGCTTAAACGTCGCACATAAATTCATATACTCGAAGTTATTTTTGGTGAATAAAACGAAACCGAAACTTTTTCTTTAAGCTGATGAGCTGAGAGATAAAAATGAAGCGTTGCGAAGTAAGTAAACTGCCGATTAAATTAATTTAAGTAAGATTGAAAGTACAAGCAATCAACAAAAACTAAAATTGCGTTTTGTTTTCCCCGGAAAGACGCCGTTGTTAGATAAACGACGAAACAATGTTTAATGCACTTTTTTATTTGCATTTCACATAAAAAATAATATCAAAAATCATCAGAATTGCTTGTAAAGCTTACTCAAAGTACTTGCGTAACACGACAAGTGATCAAACTCCGTACACACAACTTAACTTCTTATTATGCAATTCGCTTTTAATTGTGTCAGTTTTGTTTTGATTTCTTTATCTTTAGCTTCTTAGGATATTGTCAAAACTTACCTTATTAAAATTATCGCGGACGATTTGATGTGCCAATTCATCCTTGGACGCTTTTCTCAACAAATTTGGATTTTAAACTCGATACGAAACACTTTTTTTGTAATTTTTTTCTGTGTCAAATTATCCAAATCAATATTTTTATGTATATTTTATGCAGTTATCAACACAGTTAGTGTAAGTTTATGTCTCACTTATCTAACGATTGTAATTGATCTACAAAATCAAATGAAAAAGAAAATTATTCTTTATTCACTTTACAAGCTTTTTGAATGCTTTTGATTAAGGTTTCACTGAATTAAAAAGATTTCCTTTATTCAATTATGCACTTTAATCACTTGACAATGAAAAGTTAAACCAAAAATTAATCTTATTACTTTTCTCTCTTGACCACTTTGTTTTGATTTTTTTTTTTGCTTCACTAGATAATTTATTCAAGCAGCTTTTAAAATCCACTAACACTTGATCTCTCTCACAAAGCAGAAAAATTATTTGTTACAGCGAAACAAAGCACGTCCGTATCGCACCAAGTCTCACAACTAAATGAACTCTGCGACTGATCGGTATGAAAGAGCTATCAAATGTATTTATTATGCGGAGAAAGTTTGTTCGTTTCTTCTTGCTTGCGCCGCAGCGGTATAGTATATGATCGGCAAGTTGCACAAAGGTATGAGTGAGGAATATTTACTCCGAGTCTCATCAATTTGCAAACAATTTTGAGAATGAAGAGGTGATGGTGCTGTGTCAGACCACGGTGATTCCGAACACGCTACTGCAGTAGTATTTAACACTAGACGTGTTTTTAATGTTGTTTTTATTACTCTTGTCGTTTGATGAGAGAAGGAGAGAAAAGAATTTAAATATTGACATAGGCAGAATCATGTCCACTTCAACCGAAAGCTTAGATTGACACAGCGAATCGGAATTTAAGCAAGAAATTCAAGCAACAACAGAAACGTTTACATTAAACACACATAAGCTAATGGACCTTTAAGAAAGAAATCCTGAAGTTTAATTATCAGGATGTTAATTTATTAAGCAATAGTTGTATGATATTTGCAATTTAAATAATACAAAAGGAAGATTTTAAAACTTTTGTTTTAAATATTCTTTTATTTCTCGTATTAATTAGATAATTAGTAGTTTGTAATGAATTTAGAAGCAAACCACAAAATAGTTTTAAATGTAGTTACATTCAGTATTGTCACTTACCTTCGGAAATTTAATAAAAATTCTCAAGTTATAGACATTCTTTAATTTTTGCTTTGTAACGGAAAAAGAAAATATTTAAATAAGAGCCTTTACTAAATAGCAAAGACACAAATCAATTGAAATTGATTTATAGGAAGAACAATTGCATGCTATAATTATAGGAATTTGAAATTATTTAACGAATTATACGAATTTTTCTGAAATTTCTTAGCCATAAACTGAAATTAGAAATCTAATTGTTCACTTTGTTTGGTCTCACTTCACCATACGCTTTCCAACTGCAAGCAATAACTGATTTCCTTTTATCATTTAGAATTTTAACATCATAACGAGATTCAATCATTCCTTTAATAACTCTTGTAGTTGGTAACATTTTAAGAAGATCGTCTGGAGGTGTGTAGTTTGAAATACTGAATGTTCCCTACATTCAAAGAAATAGACAATTTATTTAAATAATATTGACACTAAGAATTTACTTACTATTGGAAAAGGAAATCTTGGTTCGAAATCCAATGCTTTTATTATTCCATCTGACAACTTTTGCGTGAACATATTTTTTACTGTTCCTTTGATTATATATTCTCCAATATCCATTGACACTCGATAGATTACTCTTAGATATTTGTGATCTTTATTATCCTCTGGAACTTTGACAAGTGTAATCATTTTTATTTTTGTGAGGACGACTTTTGTCTGGAAGATTGAATTAATTAAAGTGCTGTGAACCCCATCATTAAGCAGTTCAATAGTCATGTTTACAATATTTGGATTGGTGTTGATTTCAATACGATCAACAATGATGATGGATGTCTAAAGTGTCAATAAAATATTAAATTAGAATATTTTTAAATCAAGTGACTCACTGTTGTTGAAAATAAAGAAACGATCAACAGCACACTTGATGAATACATTTCGGGTCATTTCACCATTCTAAATGAAAATGTTAAATATTATTCAATTCATAAGTTCCTTGACAATATTTCTTTATGGCTATAAATTAAAAAGGTGCTTAAAATTAATAGTAAATGAAATGATACAGAACGAGATTTATGATTAAAAAAAATGAGCTCAACGAATTTTTAATTTTTGTTATTTCCAAAATATTTTTACTGTTTATTCAGTGTTGTGGAGGTGCAACTTTGTCGACTTTCAATTTTTTCCATAATAAGAAATTCCAGTATTTATGAGTGTTCAATCAGCCGACAGATAATTAGCGCTGGGCTTATCTTTAAAGAAAAACATCTTTAGCGGCATTTATTAAATTATAAAATCTGCACCACGCTGTTCAGCTTTTAAATTTATATGATTCCTTAATGAACTGTAATAACTTCAAGAAATAAAGTTAGTTTTGTTTCTCTGCTCCAACTTTCATCTGAACTGCATTTCAAATTTATGGACTGCAAGTGATCAGACTTGTCTCGATGAGATTGTCATTGCTCGAAGCATCATAATGGGTGGCATTCTGCAAACATGACAAATGACTTGACAAATGGTGTCCGCTTTATCCACAACAGATTTATTTTTTATATCAAATTCACAAAAATCCAATTACGTATAATAATCTGGAAAAGGATAAAAAAAAACCAACAACAAAAGAATATTTACAGAACGAAAAATAATTACGAGCGAGGTGGAAATAATAATGGGATAAAGAGCCATTTTTCATAAATTTAATTTCATTGCACGGCGTGCAAGAAACACATTCTGCTGTTTACTGCATAAATATTTCAATTTGCATAAGACGCGCTATTTAATTTGTTGGTTTCTTTATTCGAACACTCGAACAAGAGAATTTAAGAAAAAAAAAGAAAGAAAAGAATGAAAAAAATATTGAAAATGGACACATGTTGTTTGATTAAATGAAATGACAATATATGATGGAGAAAATTCTACTTTTCAATAAAAATATAATCGAATGAGACATGTGTTTATTTGTGAATGTTTTTTTGATTGTTTAAATATCTTTCAAATCAAATAAATTCAGCTCGTGTTAGATTCCTTTCTTCACTTTTACTTTTTTTTTATTAAAACGTGATCTTTGTTCATCCTGAAACATCTCTTCACGTCATAATAATTAGATTTTCTTAATTCCCTTTCTTCTTATCATTCGTATTATAGAATTCTCGAAAATATAAAAACAGAAAGAAAGATTCTCTAATACAATATTCCATAATATTCATTTCGTATGGCGCCTCAATATCCATTTATCATTCAATGTTTTATATGTGTTGAACTGTGTAAATAAAAGTTCGATAATGGAAAACGAGCGTCTCATAATAAAACGAATTACGAATTTATAAGTTATAACTGTTCACCCAAGAGGTAAATTATTATCCAAAATCCAATTTAAAATCGACTTTTTTCTTCTTCTTTTCATTTTCGATTTGTTTGTTGTACACTCATGGCAAATATTTTTTTTCTTTTTGCATAAATGCAAATCTGATTTAGTTAAACTTACTGAAAATTGATTTATCAACTGCTTTTGTTAAAGCTTAAAGTTACGGCAATCAGTTTGAATGAAATTATGTGTTCTGTTTACGTTTCATCTCTCTTCTCGTGATTGTGCTTTATGGTAAGGAATTTTAGATTTCATTTATTATTAAAACAGTTGCGATTGCCGAATCAAATTGAAATAAAGTGAATCTCCCTTAAATATTTTTCTATATTTTCATCAAATCTTGAGATTTTAATTAAAATTTTAAAGCAATCATAAAACCGGAATCAAAATAATGTACCTAATGCTGTGAATTATTATTACGATACTTTAAATCAAATCGATTTTAAGGCCTGTGCAAAGCCCAAGTGAGAAATAAAATTTCAATTTTCCATGCTATTTTTGGTTTTATTAATTATGTGTTTTCGATTATTGGATCGTTATTTATTTGATTTTAATTATTTATAGACTCTTTTCTTTCCGGAAAATTTTCCAATCTATGAATTCTTTTTTTAAGGTTCTTTTTATGATTAATTTCTTCTTTATTATGGTATCAAACATTTCCATATTCCACGTTATTCAATAATTATCTTCTCCAACTAGTTCTCTTAATTGATGAAAAAATAGTATGAAAGCTTTCATTACTTTCAGATTATTTATTTTCAAATTTATGTGAATGTGTTGAGTTGAAACAACTTTGTGATTGGGCGTTACCACTCAAAGCGTACCATGGGCGGAGTTTATTCATTTTCGAAAAACAATTCACCATGTCATGATGAAATATTTTTTAAAAATATTAAACGTTGAAGATTTATCAGCACTCAGTTTCATGCTAATATTCATGTCGTGTAGTTGCATGAGCTTAATTTATCTTTCGTTCATATTTCGTGGAATTATTTTCTTCTTTTATTTAATAAAAAGAATTTTTTGTGTTAGTTCAGTCTTCATCAGCAATCGCATTTGTGTTAATGTTTCGTATGTTCATGTAGTATGTTAATGCTTCGTTGAATGTTGCATGCAATTCTGGACAAAAGTAATCTGAACTGCTGTTGATAAAAGTTATTGCTGTGGAAAATACCAAGAATTCATTAGTTAATTAACGCTCTAATTAGTGAATATAAAATGCACTTATTATGCAACTGTGTTAATGTTTAAAAGTGTAAAGTTCGTACATAGAAATGCAAAGGAGTATTATGAAAACATCAAGCTGAAAAGAACAAAATAAAACTTTTGTTGTCTTCATTGAAACTAAGAAAATAAGTAGAAAGTTGAAAACTAAGAACCAGCATTTGCAAGTGATATCAAACGCATTAATTAAGTTTTATTATACATATATTTACTATCCAGGTGTTACTGTTTATCAGGTATGCTTATGAAAGCAATAAATAAGAATTTTCAATTTCAATGCACTTCCTAATGTAAAGAAATGAAGGCTTTTGACGGAACTTATAACTATGTAATTAATTATATATCAACTCTCTAATTAATATCACTTTATTATATTACATTTTAATCACAATGCAATGACATGCTTGTGAATGCTATCATTGTAAATTTAAGTACTGGTCACCCACAATTAAATGCAAATAATTTCATCGACAAAATTAAAATTTTTATCAAACCAACAAAAAAAATTCGCAATTGTTTGAATGATGAAAATGCGTTTAGAGCCAAAAAAAGATTAAATATTAATTAAATATTTAATTCATAGATAAGCTTTAATCTTCCGATCTTTGATTAACGTTTAGCGTTGTCGCTTTTTAATCAAAATCAATCGATAAAATCGTGTTTTAATTAAATTTTCTTAAAATCTTAATGATATCTAAATTAGCAAATAAAATGTCAATATTTAGCTTCTTTGGATCTTTTAGGAAGGGCTTTTTGATTAAATTGTTTAGCCATGCGACATTAAATTAAAATAATTAATTTAGACACAAAATGTAACCTTGAAACTCCCCAACGATGTCAAAATATATCAAACATGAATAGAATGGGAGAGAGAGAAAGAAAGAGAAAAGACACAAAATATCTACCGGGCCATAAAAATAAATTAAAATTAAGTTTCATTTCCTTTGCTTTGTTTCGGAGAATCCATTCTCGAATGGAAGAATTATAAATTAACAAAATATCATTTCATGTTCAACTAATTCAAAAACTGCATGCCATGCAATTCCATGAAGAAAGAATGAGATCAGAAACCCACATTGGAAAGTCGTTCAAATTGAATTGTGTAGTTTTGTACCACCCCAACACATGACAATTGTTTCTTTTTTTGCAAAGCATGTTAACAATCTTGTATGCGTGATATCAAAGAATTCACACAAAATGTTGCTGATTCTCATAAGTCAGTTATTGATTTATTTTTAATTTTCGGTTTCAAGTTGGAACTCTCACCAAATGCAAGACGATGACTTTGTATTGCATTAAAATTTGGAAAATTAACTTTAAGCTGGTTATAAGGTACACAAGAAATATCTTTTGAAACCACAAACAAATTTACAAACGAGACCCCCGTCTCGAAAGAACCTCAACAAATAATAGATTATTATTATTATTAAAAAAAAGTGTGGTCAAGAACCACAATTGAAGAAAAGTCGTGCTTTTCAAGGACCAAAAAGGTGTGTCTATGTGTGATAAACGTCTGCAGAAATCACTGCTTAAAGTCATTTAAATACAATTGGTAGCTTTAAGTGGATAAATACAAATCGTTCTAATACAACATGAAGGCAAAAGCAATTTGAAGAGACACAAAACCTCAAAAGACACACAAAGATTTATTGATAAAATCTTTCTTTGAGAAGAATGCGAAAATGAAGAACGAAAAAAACGCAAAATATTTTAATATTATTTAATGAAAATTCCCGCGATATCTTCCATTAGTGTCTTAATGGTCTTTTGATAGAAAAAGCACAGCACAACATGAAATAAAAATCACCATAGTGGGCTATCATAAAAACGGCTTTAAATTAAGAGAAAAGTTTTTTTGATTTTACAATAGTTTAATCCTTTGGATGTTTTCGAGTGTCACATTTGATTCTCGTATAGTAAAAGCACGCGTTATGACTAGCGAGAAATAATTTAAATAATACTTTAATATCGATGAGTGGTCGAAGCTAATAAAGTTAAGTTGAAAGGAATGCCAATGATTTCATTTAATTCTAAAAAGTTTTTTTATTGACACAATCAAATTTTGCGATTGTTATGATCTCGAATTTAATTACATGACATTTGTGTCAATTCAATGTTATGTTTAAGAAAAAAATTGTTCACCAATGTTAAAGAAATCCAATCATGATCTAGAATCTAATAATGCTACATTTTAAATTAAATCTTTTGATTAAAACACGAGCGACAATCGAGTTTATAGGATATCTGAGTGGTTATAAGTACAGCCATTAAAGAACTTTTATAGTTTGAACAGATAATTGGTTGCTGTGACAATTCTCTGATTTTTTATTACTTAATCTTTAATCATATCTTCTTGGGAGAGTAGAACTCCAATTAAAATGAAATAACTTTGCGTTATGAACTCTGAAAAATTAATTTAAAAACCAGTTACAAAGTTTCCTTGAAAACAGTATTCAACTTTGAACTGAAAACTAATTATAAATGAGTTTAATGAATAAATCAGATAGAACTGAGATTCACTCGAGTGAATCACATTGAACAACGATAACTTTCGTAAAACAAACTCTTTATTCAATTTTGCATAAAATGTCGCGGAAACAGATTCAATAAAATAAAACATCAGACCGTAAGCTAACTCACTGTTTATCAAGAGCGTTCACACTTCAGTAGTTCAGGTAAGTGAAACATTCACCAGATATTCCCAATTGGAAATGTTTTACTTGAAATTCATTATAATTGACTCAACAAATATTTAATAAAGTGAGATGAAGAATTTTCAATTATTTTTACAAGAATTTATTTCTTGACAATTCCAAATTTTTTTATCGATCACAAAATGATCACCAACTGGGCCACATGAGGATATTCACTTATTTAAATTCTAACATAATAAAAACAGTTCAAATTAAAAACCTAATGTGAATCGAAACAGTAATTGCTTGTTTTAGTGAACAAATTCAAAATTTTATGCTCGTTGTTTATGTTCAATTTTTCAACAGTTCATGTCAGACGCGCACCAAAGGAGAGAACGGAAAAAAGTGGATTTGAAGTCGAGGAACGATGCGCGATAGGAAAAAATATAAAATAAAAAAGCAATTCAATCAATCAACACCTGCTTCGGGGCCGGAATTTAAACTCTCTAAATTGTCGAATGCGTAACGAAATAAAATCAATATTTAATTGAAAAATTAAATTAAAAAAATAAATCGAAAGAATGTTAAAGAAAAATGGCGAAAGAAATTCGTCAATCAAACAATTTCACGTTGGAATTTCGAATGTTTGTTCGCTTCCGGGTAACAAAATTTGAATGAAGAAATATTTTTAATTCTACTGTCAATTTCAATGCAAATTAGTTCAATTCTGCATTTCATTGCAAATAACCTGAGGCAAAAGGATCGTGTAACTATAAACAAGCTCGAAGCTTCTACCCTCGTCACTTCTACGACATGAACTTCCATTCAAGAGGAAAAAAAGTTTCAAATACTTTAAATTGAATTATTTTAATGATTCCTTGCTCCGGTTTTGATGCTTTAAAAGTTTTATAAAGCAATTTTCGCGATATGAAAAAGTTTATTTCTCATCGCTAACGCCACTTCCACACATTATACTTTAAAATTAGATTTATTATGTTTTGAATTGCTTTCATTCATTTAACGATCATTTTTATTGCGAATGCTTATTTTGCTTTGCTGTTGCTATTTTTTCTTAACTAGTTCACTCCCCAATTCCAAATTACCATCGAATACTTAATAGAAGCATCACTAGAATTTCAATTTGTATGTTGTTTGAAAAGTGTAAGTATAAGTATCGGAATAAAATCACCTTAGCGTGCAAAAACTATTAAATGTTATTTCGAATTGAACTTTTAATAAATGCCCTCTATTATTTGCTGAGTATAATGCCTTGCTAATGTTCTCATGGCTCAAATTAAATTTAATATCGATTCTTTTTTTCTCTTCGTGTTTAATTTTCAATACAACATTCAATAATTGGTGAAGGAAGCATTTTGGGTTTGTTGCATTAAATATTTTGAAATGTTTATTGATGTGGAAAACAGAAATCATAGCATGAAAGAATACTGCAATGTTTGCGAGATATTTTCGGATCATGATTTTTATTACTTCGTCACTGATACTTGCTTGCAAAAAAAAAAATCAAGTTGATCTCGTTTATGATCTCAATAAGTAGATACTTTAATCGGATTAAATACTTAAGGAAGAAACTTCAGCCTTCAATATTCACAAAGTAATTTAAAAAATTAAATGAATAAGAGCACAAACAAAATGTTTACCGATAGTGTGGAAGAACGAATATTATTGATAATGATCATTAAAGCTTCACAAGACGCTCATTAAACTCACGATGCTTAATTCTTCTCTCTTGTAAGTAGATAAATATTTTCTGCGAATTAATTTGCAATTTAAAGTCATGACGAACTTCGTTTTAATTCGTTGGAACTTTGAAAACCAAACAGTCTTGATGCAAAAAAATTGTTTTATGTTGGGACTGATCGTTCAAAGTGTATTGTGCATACATGAATACATAATTATGGTGATGAAGAAGTCAAAAATAATTTTCTTGTACAAATTTTCATATTTTTCATCAGCAAAATAATGTTGTTGATCGGAACAGCTGAAAGCGTGGAGTTTCTCGTTACGGATGAGTATTCCAAACTTAACCCAACACCTGGCACTTGGACGTTGCATCATTTAACTCAATTCTGTTATTTGTTATATGCATTTTACAAGTCAATTACCAAAAACAACAGTGAAGCGACTTTTATTGCCTATAAAACTCTCATTTAAAACACTTCGTCTTTATTGCATATTTAACCATTTTTTGACGTTAAATATACTTATCTCTCAATATTTTTTAAATATTTACTATTCAAATGAAAAATCAAGCATTTGTTATGTAATGGATTGAAAGAGTTTAGTTGAGTTAGTGACTGGCGTCAATATTATCGTAATCTTAAATCTGCAATAACTTAATTTATTCAGTTCATACTTAATGTTTTCTTGAAATGATTTTTTTTTTATTTATTTATGTACAAAGCCAACAGGAAAAGAGTCGAGAACTTAATTATCACCTCACCGATTATACAATTGCACATTTGCACTCAATCAAAAGAAGTCTTTAAATATTAAATGTTAACGCGTTTTTTTTACTTTAATTCCAGATTTTTCCTTTTGATGTTTTATCAGTTTGGTAATTTTTATTATTTTTCTAACTTTAGAAATTAAGTGTTGGATGAAAATCAAGGAAATCTAAATGGCAAAATGATGACCTAGGGGACAAAGTTGATCTAAACTCTTACAAACTTGAATGATAATTTATCCAATCGAGTAAACTAAAACTAACATAAACCTTGACTCAACAAATTTTTGTAGATAATTAAAAATCCATCAACGAAATTAATTGTATTGCAGAAGTCAATTATTATAAAATTTGCCAAGGAAATTTCATTTTAGCAAGATTGACTTAACACGGAACGGGCAAATTGTTTTATTATGAGAAATCCAATGGATTTCATAAAATAATTTCATTTACTGACTGACAGAAGTATCTGAGAATGTTGACACAAAAGCGATAACATTGCATTAGTTATGAGAAAATGAAGTAGGGGGAGGGAAGAAATTATTATGTTATTAGCATGAAAACAATTATTTTGTGACATCCATATCAAGGTTGATGGAGTGAGAACATTTACTTAATGCTTTTGCGGTGATTGAACTCACAACCTTGTAAAAAAAGTTTAAATTGTATCACAGTCAAGCTATTAATTATATCTTGATGACTCAAAGGGTTTAAATCAGAAATGAAGATCTTAATTAACTTTTTCATTCGATATAAATGTTGTGCTTGTTCCCAGGCACAATCAAGAATAAGGAAGCCGTAAGCAGAATTATAATTCAATTACAACTTCTTAAAGCTCAAATAGTTTAGCAATTGATATCAATTTAGAGTTAATTCAGCATTGAAATTGAATGCAAAGTTTTTCGCTTTATCGGATCGCTTCTGATTACAATCTGAAGTTTTCCTTATTCTTCAACTTTTTGAATGGCACATGAATCAAAGTGCATTGCTATAAGCTAAGCACGATTCTATACTCGAAACAAAGAGCGATGTTTTAATTTAACTATAAGTACAGAAGTCTAACAATCACACGAACGATATTATTAATTCTCAACAGGAATGCAAACAATAAATCAATATCATTGATTTGTTAAATAACAAAACTACAACATGCTCTTAAATTAAACATGTATAATTTTATGCTACACAATCTGTCTGCAAGCTCAAATGTATTGAAAATATAAACGAAATAAAAACAAAAAACATCTCAGGAAGAGAGAAGAAGCGAAATCAAAATGCAAAAAAGATTTGGAATAAATTAAAAGTGATGTTCAATCCTTTAAACGTAAACTTTTTAAATCAAAAAAGTTTCCTAACTTTTAAATTTCCCCTGAAAAGTAATTAAAAAATAATTCCACATCGACATAATTTATCATTAACCCCAACACTTTAAAAGTCAAAAAATATTTCTGATCATTCGATATTCATTTAATTAAAGTTTTACATCGATTTTGGTTTTTTTTTGTTGCCTCGCTTCGCTTACGTTTCTCTTCCTCTGATGCCATTTCAATCAACTTAATTTGGTGGCGGTTGTAGCAGTATGTTTATGCATAAATTTATGCCGATCAATTTTCTCCTTCGATCGCAAGTCCAAATGTTAATTTAAATGTTAAATTTAATGAATATCTCATTGAGTGTTGAATGTTGTAATTTTCGTTTCGTTTTTCTTACAGATCCACATATTCTGAATGAATTGACCATAGGACGTTTGAAAGCCCATAATCATCAAACGAGCATGGGAATATCTGAAGAGACAAAATTAGAGGAAATATCTCGTGATATTCAATCGACTTTGGGTAACAGTTCAAATCAAATAACAAACTTGGGAGAAAGTCTAATGTCGGATCAAAGTGACAACGAAGTTGAACACGATCCACACCGTAAACGAAAGCAACGACGTTATCGCACAACATTCAACAGTTTACAACTTGAAGAACTTGAAAAAGCCTTTTCCAGAACTCACTATCCTGATGTGTTTACAAGAGAAGAACTAGCGTTGAAAATTGGGTTAACAGAAGCGAGAATTCAGGTAACAAACACAATTTCACCATGGAAACGAAATCGTTAAATTTCATTCAACATTTTTATGATTTATGCAACAAATGAAAAGCATTTCATTTCTTTTTTTGAAAGAGTCTCACGCAATGCAATAATTCGAATAACTTTTAAGGCTTTTCATTCGCAATGGCTTTACTGTGTGGGCGTCATTTTAATTGATAATGAATTTATTCTGTTTGCTTACGGTGAATGAGTGAATATTTATTATTGAGTAGAAAGTGTAATAATTCATCTCCATATGTGCTGCTGTTGTTGAAACAAAACAGTTATCGGTTTGTAGGCGATTTTTAATCGCGCTATGTGTTTGTTAATATTAAAATTTACGAACTCTATGACGGTTAATATTTTATTCCATAAGAGGAAAAATGTTAAACAGTTTTACAACGACGACGACGACGACGACGTGATAATGATTTAAGACAACTGTGTAATTGATCATGTTATCTCTATAATTAAATATCACAAGTCACCACATTTAAATATTTTCAAACGTGTATAAATTTGTTTGTCATATTGCTATCATTCAATGATAAACCATATGGCGACTCAATCATGATTAAATTTCAAAGAGTGCCGGACATCTCCACATGAGACACATTCGTTCGTTTGTTGTCTCTTAAAACTTTTCTTTAAATTGAAAACTTTGTATTAAAAGTATTCATCGTCTCAAATCAAGTCACTCACTTTATTGTTGTGTTTGGATTAAATATGCAGAAACAAGAATGAAAGAAAACATTTTAAATTAAACTAGAAACGATTAAAGCGGGTAAACTGAAAGACATCCTCCTGTGATGAAATTGGGCATTCAAAGACGTCCCATGATGATGATCATCTTGTGTAGAGAAGACTAACTTTAACGAATGTTTATGTGGAGAAGACCAAAACAACTTTTAATATGTTTCACGGAAACTGAAGAAAGAAAAATATTTTGTGTGTGTGTGTGTGAGGGAGAGAGAAAACAGAGAATTATTTACGAGTCTCCGACAAATTAAAGCCCGGTATAATTATCATTTAATAAAAGTCGTATAAGTTCTCGTAAAATTATTGATGAATCAACATCAAGAGAAATATGAAATGAACTTTGATGTTTAATGATGTTTTCGAGATAATTTATGGTGAATCATTAATTTAATTGTCGACTATCTAATCTAGTTTTATTTAATGTCTGAACTTAATCAACGAATTGAAAGAAGAGAGCTAGAACCCCTAACGGTAAACATTTAGGATCAAAACCCCAGCGCTGCTTAACTAATGATGGTCGAATAATAAATTTAATCCATTTAACGTGGATCTTATTCATAATTGGCTTATCTTTGATTGCGTCTCAGAATCGACATGAAAACCCATCAGACAAAAAATTAAAAAAACTAATTTGAATTTATTAATTGCTGTTTTTAATTCTTAACGTTTTTTTAATCAACAATTTATTAAAATCATAAATTCACTACAATGTTGTGAAAAGTCTAAAGCCTTTAAGTGCTTTTGAAACCTTTCGTTGCTTGTCTTATTAATATTATTATTGATATTATTTTCGTTAAAAATGACAGAGAATGCAATAAAATATCTTGATTGAAAAATAGGAAGTTTATTTATGAAAATATTAATAAATTTATGCGTTAATCAAAATATTTATTTTCGTTCATTGTTCCAATGTTATGAACTTTTAGCTCGGGTTTCAACCTGTAACTGAACAATGACAATGTCCATCTGAATGATGACCATGTCTGATGGTGTCTTAATTTGAATTCTTCCTTTCATGTTCAATTAATGAGATTCTTATGGCAAAAGAGCTCATAAAATATTTCCACTTTTTACGACGTGTTGTCAAATAAATTATAAAACTGAAAGAAACAAAATTCTGTAAATATCTTCGAGATCAACGATTGAAGAGTTCAAATAAATATTGAGTTTCTTGGCTGGTTTCTGGTCATGAGATATTGGTGATTCTTGAAATATTTAGATTTAATAAAATGAGGTTTTATGACCGATTATTAAATTGGAACATTCTTCCTTTATCACTTAAATTGGGTTGTAAACATTCTTACAGATAAAACACTTCGATTTAAATGAAGTTTGATCAACAAGTTTTGTCACTGGCATTTATTTAATGACTTGTTGCCAATTCCTCAATAACGCAACTGACATCATTCAGAAAATTGCGCGAAACAGTCGGAAATGAACATTTTTCGATCATTTCTTTCGCCAATTCCGTCTGAAGAGCATTTGATTGAAAAATAAGCATCCAAAATTTAATTTCTCATATACAGAAAAGTAATTTCATTTATTAACCAATGATACAAAACATTCATCGATGTTTTTCCGTCTTATTCGGAGTGTAATTTAAGACACAAAATTTTTGCATTTGGAACCTGATTTCATTATTCAACATAAATTTAATTTCATTTCACGGCATCTTCTGCTTTTTCTGCGATTTTCGATCAAAATAATTTCATTGTCGGCAAAAACTTCGCTTTTTTTTGCTTAACTTTGGTCATTTCTCAGCATCCTTTCAAACTTATTGTTGAGAGCGGCAATTTGATGTTCATGTCCATGCAGATATCATAAAATGAAATGAAAACATAAAAAATGAAAATTAAATTAAGGCACAATAAAAGTTTGATAACCATGAGTCGTACAATGATGCAAATCCAATTATCTGAATGTTATTCTTCTCGTTGAATGTTTTCTTAGCAATTCTTGTGAAATCAACGGCGATAATTTGATCAGACCAAGATCGCCTGAGAGTCAAAACAAAAAGTTGCATTTCTACTTCATATGCTAACTGAATAATTTTATATTCTTCCCAAAAAACCAGCTAATAGCGTTTTATTGCTTTATAAATAATTGTTGACTAAGCAATCAGTGGGTGGTACACAACAAAAGAATTAGATTTACATGCCGAGCAACCCAAATAGAGTAGAAAAATAAATATTTTGATTTAACAAGTCGAAAATGCTTACAAACAAACTGACAAATGAGACGTTGATGTTGAGCTATGGCTCGGCTACTCTCTTTGCTTTCTGTTTTACCTTTTGTGTCCACATTCTCACAAATGAATTCAAATTGTTCGATTCCCATAGATCTTTTATTAAGTATGGTAATGAAGTAGAAGAAAATACTTCAACACACACGTTCTCTGTCAATTTCATAAATGAATCCAATAATCGCTTTAACGTTGAAGTGTAGGCGCCATTCAACCATTGACAACTGTTCTGTCGCTTCATCGTGTTTTGCAATATTATTTCACATGTTATGGTAATTTTGTAAATTGAACCCATAATTTATCGAATGAATTTTTATTCGTTGTTTACTCGATTCAATTTGCATTAACTTTTTTTTTAATTTTATTAATTTTCCTTGTTTTGCGGTTTCTGTCTCTGCAAAAGTTGACTCGTAAAGGTTGTTGTTATTGTTGTTGCTTGTGGCTGATGGAAACAGCGAAACATAATTAGATTTAAAACTAAATATAAAAACATGGTGGAAGCAGTGATGAAAGATATGTGAATGGAATGACTTTAACCACAAAAGAAGCAACGATTTGTAGAAAACAACTGACTTGTTTCTTGATGTAACTCACAAAGAGATTCGATAATAAGACGTGACAGTCACCGATGCTCCTTTCATGCTGTTTCCATTCAGTTTTGCTTCGTTTCATTTTTTATATGTTTTGTGTTTGAAAACCTTTTAAGCTTTCATTGTTACGTGTTGAAACAGCAGCCACAAGAATCTCATAATCACTGAAAATGAAATCAAAGAAGTTAACGAAACGAGAAGCTTTTAATGAGTTTTTTTTCTTTTTATTTTAAGAACATTCTTTGTGATGTCAAATTGATTTTAGTTTTCTTTCTTTTTCTGTCTTTCCAGGTCTGGTTTCAAAATCGACGTGCAAAATGGCGAAAGAATGAAAAGATTGGACCAAGTGGTCATCCTTACAATCCATATTCGCCGAATGGTGGCCTTCAAGTCCCATCATCATCATCTTTACCACCTCATCATTTCTCACATTTGGGATTCAACTTTAGAAAGCAATTCGATGCTGCAAGCTTAGCTGCTTTTCGTTATCCGCAATTTCCAGGAAATCCAATGATTCCTTCTGCTTATTTCAATCAATTTCATCGTGCCCCACCCCCGCCTATGCTTCATCCTAGTGTTGGAAGTTTATATTCTCCAACAGCAAGTGCATCGTTCCAAACACTTTTGGCAAATATTTCAGCTGCTCAACGACCTCCTATGAAGTCACCAACTGAATATTTCTCGCATCCACCAAACACAACTCTTTCTGTCTCTCCACCAATCTCTCCAACAGATTCCAACAAATCATCAACTTCTGCTATTAACGTTTCATCACCCGTCTCATCTCAAACCCCCAACAGTTCAACGCCACCACCAGAAGATCGACGAAGTACTTCAATTGCTGAATTACGACTGAAAGCTCGTGAACATGAGATGCGATTAGAAGTTATGCGTCAAAATGGTCACGAAACTCTCAATGAATGATTTTCAATCAAAGCGCACTTTTGCATCGAATTTAATTCACAAGCTTTGAACTAAATTAAATAGATATGTAGATAAATGTTAAGAATGCAATGATGGAATATTTATTAATTTAAGAATATGTAATAAAAGAAAAAGTATTTTGATGCGCACAATACGAAACTTTGTTGAACTTATTCGTTTTGCTATTGTTCGGTCTATGTTGTTTCGTCATGGGAAATTTTCATTAGCTCTCGTCCCACCCAAATCGTTACTCCAAACCCTTCCTGAATCTTTTTCAATTACTTTTCATTATTAATCGTGAACAATTTATTATCGTCTACTTTACATTTTCTGCATCGTCGTCAGCATGTTGTAATTCTTTGTTCGCAGCTACCATAAAGTTGTTATTCTTTCATTCCATGACGTTTGAAGTATCATAAGCGATACTTGACTTATGATTCGTAAAACAATATAATAAATAACATTGTCAGATAAATGAGTGTTAAAAAATGCAATTCTGATGTGAAGAACCTTTTAAAATCGAATATTTCAATACATTCTTGTTTATTTCCTTTTCAGTTATCTTAGCAGTTAATTATAGTTGATGGACGACTTTAGCGAATCTTTTACTTTTACTTCATGATTGATTTGTATGTTTCGAATCTTTTACAATGAAAATCAAAGTCTTGACACTTAAATTGAAAGTTTTCAAGACCTACAGAAAATTCTTCTTCAACATCGAGACGATCAAACTTAATTACGAGAAGAGAAAAGGAAAAAAATAAAAAATATAATAATCAATCAAACGCCCATCATAGCAACACATATTTATGATTTAATTTAATTTAGCTCATAAATTTGATTACATTCTACTTCGAAATCAGAACGAGAGTAAAATTTTTAATCTTTTATGATGCGCATAAATTTTTTCACTTAATTTGATTGGGGGATGGAGAAGAAGAATCGATAACAGAATCCATTTATGCGCAGAAAATATTGAGAACTACAACAAGGTTGAAGTTATGAATATTAATTAAAAATTAAACTTTATTTATGGTTGGTTCATCAGCGTTGTTTGCATGCATTTCAAAAGTCATTTGTTTTACGCAAAACAAGAACTGATGAGTTCCAAGGAAAGCTATCAGTTGCTGTTGCCATTAAAGTTCTTCTTTCGAGAACTCTTCGCCATCTTTTAGAATTAATGACGCTGATTCCATCGTGAGAAGGTTCATTTTATCGTGAAATATGATGTTTAATTTAATATCTCCGAGATTCACTTCTTCTCACACTACCACCCACTAAGATATTAATGATCATCATGTTGATTCTGTTACGGTGCTCAAAACGCACTATGAAACATTATTTATTTGCAATAACATGAAACTTTGCTGCTTCTGTAGAAGACAAAAAAGTTTTTCTCTCAAAAGTTGAATAATTTTTCATAATTCACTTTTGAATTTCCTCGAAAATGTTTTCGCATTCCAAACATCAAGAATTAAAAAAACTTCATCATTAAACAACAGCCACAAAAGGGTCAAAAAATAATTTTTCAATCCAAAATCTTGAAATGCAAATAAATAATATTCGAGAATTATTATTTTTATTGAAAAGTGTCGCTCCCCGATGCTTTACAAGATGAAAGTCAACGGGAGATGATAAAGAAATAAATTTGAACTGACATTAAGGTTAATCGTTCGTGGGATTTGTTTGTTGTGCATTTTTAAACTGAGATAAATTTTATTTCTTTTTAAAAGTTTCCAGCACCTGAAAAGAATTTAAATAAAATTATAAAAAAAATCTTTTCTGTCTTCATATTTTCATTAACTTTTATTTCATAATTAAATGCTTTGCTTTAAAATTTTAGTTCTTAAATGTTTATAATTTGTGCAAGAAATTAATTAAATTCTAGTTTAATAATAACTTAAAAATATTACAAACAGTGCCCGGGCTGCGACCTTAAATTCACTACCTAGTCAAATACTTTCATCGGTCGTCGCCCAAATTTGCATGCGTTTATGAATGTAGGACGGTTTAAATTTATTTAAATAAGAGCACTTCACATTTTAAGGCATTTGCGGTAAATTCAGAATTTTATTTAATGCACAAAGTTTTAGGACACATAAGAAAGTGCATTGCGAAATGAAGTAAGCAAATTTATAAGCTTACAATTAATTACTCATGACATCGTGTCCATTTTGCCGCATCATTTCAAGTCGCAATTCGTGTTCACGAGCTTTAAGGCGAAGAGCAGCGATTGATGAGCTTCTACGGTCTTCTGGCGGTGGAGTGGAATTTCCAGGCGTTTGGGATGAATTGCTGAGCGAAACAGGAGATGAAACATTGATCGGTGTCATTGGAGCTGAAGTCGATGATTTATTAGAATCTGTTGGAGAGATTGGTGGTGACACTGATAAAGTTGAACCCACTGGTGCTGACAAATATTCCGAAGGAGATTTTGTTGGTATTGGAGGTAAATGAGGTGGTCGTTGAGCAGCTGAAATATTTGCCAAAAGTGTTTGGAACGATGCACTTGCTGTTGGAGAATATAAACTTCCAACACTAGGATGAAGCAAAGGCGGGGGTGGTGCACGATGAAATTGATTGAAATAAGCAGATGGAATCATTGGATTGCCTGTCAGCTGCGGATAACGAAAGGCAGCTAAACTTGCAGCATCAAATTGCTTTCTAAGATTAAATCCCAAATGGGTAAAAGGATTTGGAGGCAATGACGAAACAACCGAAGCTGATGGGACGGGAGTTCCTCCAGTTGGTAAATAAGGATTGTAAGGGTGACCAGTTGGGCCGACTTTCTCCTGCTTCCTCCACTTTGCACGTCGATTTTGATACCAGACCTGGGAAGACAGAAAAAGAAAGAAAAATATAAATAATTGTTATAATTTCAGCTAAATTCGGTAGCTTTTTTCTTTATTTTTGTTGCTTTAAGCCTCTAATTTATTTAATTCGATACACTCTCGACTCATTAAAGCCATCAAATGAAATTGATGTGGCAGTGGAACAATCAAAACGCAAAGCACAGATGAAATGCCTTGCACGTTTGATTTAAAAATTAATTTGGATAAACGTTTCATGTGAAATTATAATGAGTTGTTAGCTACTGAATTGAGAAGACAAAAGTTGTAACATGCGAGATGAAATGATCATCCATTAGTCGTCTAACGTTAAAGTAATTAGAGATTTACTGGTTAATTAGAAGCTGTTCTCATCCACAAGTTGCAGTAAAACATTTCATGAAATCAATAATGGCATCTTACATATGTTCAGTTGCGTAAAGTGTTTAATCGCTTTGATTCATTTCCATGTTATCCTGTTGCACGATTTTAAACTTCACAGTAAATCAGAGCAAGAAAATAAAATGAAATGAAATTAATTTCTTACAAGAAGAAAACTCGTCGAAATTCCGTGAAAAACGATTCGGTTGAATAAAACTTTGTTTCAGACAAAACATTGCGTGACTAATCCAAACTTCTTCGGTTTTTGAATTGGTTTAATCGTTGAGTTGAGTATAAGTAAGAAGCCAATAATATCAATTTAACATTAGTATGTTGTCTTCCCCATAAGGCAAATATTAATGGAAGTTGATTTGCTGATAAAACAAATGAATTTTCTTATTTAAATACGAGAAGAATGATTGAAGAGGGGAAAAATGAAATTAATTTGCAAAGTTGGAAAGTTTTCCTTAATATTCACAACATTTATTACATTGATAGCAACACTAGCAAACATTTACTCGCTTTCGCTAAAAATTGATCTAATTAACGACAAGCTTTTAAAGTTAGCAAACATTTGTGGTCATAATTAACGATCGTCTAATGGAGTGCAATGTAAAGAGAAAGCTGTTTCCGTTTTCTTGGAAAGTGCAAATAGCTTCATGATTTATTTTTAGTTTTACTATTAGCTGCTGCTAATTTATTAGATTGGATAAGACAAACAGTCATCGCTAAATCGCTTTACCTTCAAATTTTCTCCTTATATTATTTTTTTCTTTTTCAACTTTTTAAACGACTGCGTGACTTGACGAAAGTATAAAAACTTGGCATGAGATCATTAAAAATGCGCAATTTTATTAAGAAAAAAATGATGACAACAAAAATTTAATTTCAAACACAAGTTTGAGTACAAGTTTGCATTTTGTAAGAAATAAATTATGAGAAGTGTGAAAGAAAGTTAAGACTTGCCAAGCAAATTTTAATTAAAATATAATTAATAATTACGTGATAAATACCTGAATTCGTGCTTCAGTCAATCCGATTTTCATAGCCAGTTCCTCTCTGAAACGATGTAAAAAAAACGACATTTCATTAGATTTCATTGCGATTGATCACACGTTTCTTGAATAAAAAAAGTTTATAAAAGAGAAATGAGAAAAAAAAATTGAATTAAGTAAATTTAATGCTAATGCGCTTCGACGTTCATTAAAAAGAGTTATTAATGTGTTAGGCAATATGTTCATGATTTAACAATTTTTCTTTTTCTTACGCTTGCGAAAAAACATCATTCGGTATATCGAGTAAGTCAAAAACCAACCGCCCAAAGCAGAGAAAAACGAGAAGCTCAATAACGACAGCACATATAAATCAAATCATTCAGTGCTTCTGTGGATCAGCAATCAATTGATAAGAAAAAGTTGTCGATGATTTTTCGCTTATATAGAACGTCACTGCCTCGGGACAAGGCGAGACGAATTTAAATGAAGGAAAAGAAAAACTTAATTAAGTTACTTTTATTTTTTTCTCATTCCTCAAGTTGACCACGAGCGAGTGAGAGAGAAACAAATTACATTTTATGCTCTTTTTTGCCTCCCCCTAGTTAACATTTTTAATTAAAATCATGAGTTGGCGGAAACTTAAAATACATTTCGGTGGTCAAAGAAGAGAAGGTTGTGTGAGATAAAAAACAAACAATTGAAGCAAATCATTCTTCAATTTATGTTTTTCATTTTGTCGATCTTTGATTGAGTTTGTCGGTGGCTCAAAGTCAGTCTTAAATCTAATATTTTAATCGAATATTTATTATTCTTATCTTTCGATTCAAAATGATTTTCAAGCATTGAAAGTTTAATTAAAAAAAGCTTCTGTGTTGTGACCTTGTAACCGGCGGTGATTGCGGCTGTTTATTAATTGTTATTTCATTTGCACAACATTGTAATAGTTCTCGTACTTCAATCAGTAGCAATCAGTACAAGTGCAATAATAGTAACAGTTTAATCTAATTACGAAAATTGTAGACTGACAAGTTTCTACTTTTTTAATCATTTTTTAGTACATGATTTAATCAATATTCATAAATTAGTTGAGAGTTTTACTCAATACCATAATTTAACAAATATTTATGCACATTTTTAATATCTATGCGTTAACTAATGAGACATGTTTTTCCAATATGATATCGAAGGAAAACGTTTAATTATTTCATATTAAGACAAGCTTCAAATTGAATTGTTGAATGATGGGGAAACTTTCCCACACTTTCATAACATCATTTACAGATAACTCCCAGTTATTAATTATCGTCTTCTTCGAAGTCAATCAGAGATATTTCCAAGAGATGTTGGGAGAAAGAAGGAGAGTTGGAATTTCACAACGAGTTGGCAATTATGGTCATCAAATCTCTTAATTAAATTGATGCTCTTAAATGCATCTCTATAATTAATCGTATAAAAGAAGTACATACCGAGTAAACACATCTGGATAATGAGTTCTTGAGAATGCCTTTTCAAGTTCTTCTAACTGAAAGCTCGTAAATGTGGTTCGATATCGTCGCTGTTTCCTCTTCTGTGGATACTCATTATCTAAATCAACATCGCTATGATCCGACATGGGACTGTGACCACCAATCTGTGTAACTCCACCAGCTCTATTGTCATGTGGCGATCTGCCGTCGTGAGGTATCTCCTCAAGCTTTGTCTCTTCTGATATGCCCATACTGGGCTGATGAAATTGTTGCAGTCGATCGATGTTGAGAATCTTTTCGCCTTAAAGTTCAAGCACTTAAAGCCTGATGCTACCACCAGCTGTAAAACGTAAAATAATAAAAACTATTAATAATTTTTTTCCTTCTGTCATAATATGTAATGATAATGAAACTCGTGTGATATCAGTTGTTGTTTACTGATTCAGTTTATTAAAAATACATAAACTTATACATGAAGTGATCTTCAACACACAACATGTATAATTAATTAGCGAAAGAGAGACAGAGAGAGATAGATGGAGAAAAAGAGAGCGTCATGTAATGATGCTAATGCAGTTTATTTTTTAAAATTATCGTTCGCTTTGCAACCAGCATAAGAACGTTTTTCTGCTAAGTCATCATCTCCTCCTGTTCGATGTTTTTATTTAATTACAATCGAAATTCGCTTAGTGCAAATTCTAAAAGAGAATTGAAGGCTTCTGAACCTCACAAGCATCATTGTGGCAAATTATTGCAGACATCGTCAAATTATATTCGAACATATTCTGATTAATTTATTAAAGTTAACTCAACCGAGAAAATATTTTATTTTAACACGATGAACAAAATTCACCTGCAGCTCGATTATCGTGTCTCATCCCAAATTTAATTTTTTTTCTTATCAGCGATATAACATCGCACTTCTCAATGAGTTTTTGCTTCAACTTTTAATTAAATAAAGGTCAATCAGCTCAGCATATTTTTGCTACCTCAACAAGGCATCAAACAAGCATAAGAGGCCGCAATATTGATTATTGCGAAACAGATTCTCAATGGAAAAAGATCAAAAAGAGAACAAGAAAACATTAAATTGATTGCTGAAAATATAGAACCCGCGAGCTGAAGAGCAACTCGAAAAGGGGAAGAAAAAAGTTTGCAATTTAATTAAAATGATTTAATTGGTCTCTGTTGAATGCATTTTTGCTTGGTTTTATGTAACAACCACTTGGCTTTGATATTGTTTCACTTAGATATGCCATAAAGTGTCGCCAAACTACAATTTTATTCTGTCAAGTTAGAGTCTACAATTAAAATGCAATAACAATTCAATTAAGAAGGAAATCTTGGAGATCTTATCTCGACCTGGAAATGAGAAAATTGCTGTAACATTGATTCGTTGGATGTCGGAGTTTTATCGCCACTTTCCATCAGTTATAATCAATAAGAGAATTGATCTATGTTTAAGAGAAATATAAATTTAAGTATTATGTCGATTGACTCTTTAAACTTGCTATAGGTAAGCTTCTGATGTTACGTAAGATTCCATTTAGAAGTCTTTCACTCCGAAATTAATGTTTATGATGGTTTATATTACATTTCTTACAAATGAACCCCGAAAGCAGACTATTTCAGTTTACATTAATTCAATCATTTTAAATTGTGTGTTGTGATTCAATTAATCGCTGTTTCCATTATTTAAAGCTCTTTGCAGCGTGTTGTGTTTCATCTCAAAGTAATTTATTTTATTAGCTCGGTGTTCCACAATAAAAAATGTTTATATACGAAACTCGGCAGAATGCAGCAGCGATCTATCAGTTTGATTTCAGCTGCTGTTGTAGCTGCTTTTATTCTTCTCGGTTGCAGTCATAAAATTGTTATTTTCGTTTCGCATTAAAAACTGTGATCTCAATTAACGATAATATTTATTTAATTACATTGAATTTAATTATTTGTCCATTAATGTCGACGATCAAGAGACGTATGACTTTTGCATGCTAAATAAATTAAAAAAAATATTCGAATCGGAATCTCTGAATGTCGGGCTGCACATTAAAAGGTAAAGAAAACAACTTCACATGCAATGAGCCCATAATGTGACAATCAACCGAAAAACTTAATTAAGATATTCGTCGGTTGATAATGCTGCAATCTGATAGCGATTAAATAATGTGCATTTTTTTACGCTACTTGGATCTCATGCCGAGATTAAGAATGCGCGGCAGGTAATTAGTTTACACTGTTAATTACGACAGTAAACTGTCGACTTAAAATATATCTAAAATTCTACATGCAACTTCACAACATTCAAGATCTCAAATCGAAGTTAATAAAATTTGAAAGTAAACACTTTGAAGTTTTATGTTGACCTCTCTAAATTGATTGAGTTGTATCAGTGAATGAAGTTTTCTCATTTCCTGCCTCTCTTCATGATTCATGAAAGAACTTCTAGATTACACAATTAAATCGAAGATAATTGCTTAATTATCTGTTTATATCGCAATGACTTGCTTGTTCATGCTTCCACTCTTCTTTTGGAAGTCAATTCTTTAGTTTCTTTTTAGGCTATTGTGCTTTGTTGATGGAATGTTTTCGTTGGCTTTCATTGTGACTGTTTAATGAAGATGTCATGCAACCAGCAGCAATTAAATATCCAACCCATGACTTATGGTAAAAACTTACATTCCTGTCGCGGTATGTGTACGCTTCTTTGCTCGATCTGCTTCTCTTTTATTTATTTAATTATTATTTTAACATCACAATGATCGCCTTAAATAGCAGACTTGAATTAAGTCCTTATCGGTTGTTTTACAGAAATAAAGAAAAGAAGTAAACAAACAAATATTTGCGGTTTCAAAAAAATAAATAAAAATGCACGAAATAATTTTTATAAACTGAATTGATGTTGCTTTTCAAAGCTGATTGTGGAATTTTGTAAGCAGTCAGCAGCACACACAAAAAAATATTTAAGAGCAAATGAATTTAAAAATCTTTTTGCATTCTTCGACTTTGTCGATGGTTTTTATGTAGCGCCTTAAACGGCAAAATTACTTGAACGTTTCTTTCTTTCTCATCTTTATTTTTTTGAAGAAGTCAATCAGACTTCAATTCAATTTGCTGATTGTAACGTTTTATGAATATTTGTGTAGCACAAAACGGCCCTAAGGGAATTTCGTACGAAACGCCGCATTTCAGGGCCTCTCGTGATATGAAACACTTATTTTCACGTTTCAGGTGTTGAGACTTTGTTGTGTAATTAGGAACTTTAAATCATACACTAATTAAGCAACATAGTAAATATAAATTTAATTCTTTATCAAATATATCAACTCAACGTTGTAACTCTTTCATGTCAAATGTAATCGAATGTGACAGCTATTTAATTAGTTTTCCATAAAAGTAACGGGTCAGCGTGACAACTCGATTTTCAATGAAATAGAAATAGAAAAAAGTTGCTCGGAAAACACATCAGGAAATGATCTACTTCAACGCAAGAGTGAGCGCAGTGCTTAAGATCATGATTCGAGTTTACATGGAGTGATAATTTATGTAATTTCCTTTTGCGTGATTCATTGATGGATCAAATAAAATATTTTTTAGTATGTAAAGTAATGGAAGAGTATCTTTAATCTGGTTAGAAACATAAAAGCAGTTATCAACAAATCTTTTTATAATAACAAATCTGCAATTAATTATCCAATGCAGATGTGATCAACACAATTCAAATAAACACATGACTATCGATGTCGAATGAAGTATAAACAAAAGAAACGCGGATACTGTGAGGATATTAATGACAAAACTTCGCCGTGGGGATGAAATCAAAAAAATGATATTAACACGCTTTTGTGTGCTTTTGATAATTTTTCTACCCATAAGTCAAACAATGCTGCTGTTGCTGTCTAAATTGCCATGTATCGAATGAAAAGGAAAATAAGCGTAAATCAATTTACAGAACACCAAGTTGTTCCCTTGTTAAACACCATCAAGATGCGCTTTAGATGCAACGACGAAACATTCTTGAAAAGTCCCTCGAGACATTTATCAGCTTTGCAAGCATTAATCATCAGGCCATGAAAGATGCTTGATGGTTTTCAGCTCTTATTTATTGCACAAATTAACGATTTCGCTAAATTGAATTCCCATTTGGGATTTTCTTTCTTTTTATCTGTTTGATGTTGAACGGGATGTGCATTAAAATGCTTTTCTTAACGATTTGCTGAATTTAAAATTCACAAAAAAGAACAAAAAGAAAAACAATTAAACAATGCGTTAAAAACTTCCTTTTAATTAAGTTATAAAACAGAAAAAAAATTAGCAGTTTGCAATTTTATTACACTCCGGTGTGTCTTAACAGGTACATGAAGAAGTAATTACAAATTTTGAATCTTTTGACGGCAATTTCAAGTCATCGACAGCTACTCAATTAAACTCAATTGACGAAGTCAACCTGCCTTCTTTAAACATCGGAGGAAAAAATGACATGGAATTAATGCGAATTTATGTAATATTACAAAACAGCTGAAAATGTATACACATTAAAGGAATGAATTGTGAATTAATGACTTCTGAATCAATCGAAAGGTACTTGTAAGCTTTGTCGAGAAGCAGATAAACAACGCATTAAACATTGGATTCGCCAGCTCGATTATTAATTACAGTCAATTGATCAATCACAAGCTAATGGATAATGTTATGAGCGAAAAAAAATCCTTCAAGCAAATTGCTGTCTGTCAGTGTTTTTAAAATCACTTCAAAGTGACTGAGAGAAACAGCAATTTGCATAAATAATTAAAGATTTTAATTAAAAAATAAATAAATTATCCATTCTAATTTTAAATTAAATTAAAATTTCCTGCGTTGTTGCATGTTTCATTGTGAAGAACATCTGAAGCGTTATTTACATATAAAGCAAAACGGAAATGTTACTTTAATTTAATTTTAATTTGAAATTCTTCGAGCTACTAGTAAGTAGAGAGTGGTAGAGTTTAGTATTGTCATTAGTGATGACGATGCTTGCTGCTCACACATTTGCAAACCTATTTATTTGCGTAATCATCGCCCGTATGAGCAAAGAGCATAAAATTATTCACGTTAATTCTATTAACATAATTTGATGAAGCTTTGTCTGCCTGGTAGGGAGCGAGTGTTTATATCTTCCTCACAGTTAACAATATAAAACAATTTTGTTTCGTAAATAAAATGGCGTTGAGCGTTAGTAATTTAAATTCAACGTGAATGCCGTCGTCAAGCCCCGAAAAAGTTCTAAACTCTTAATCAATTTTTCACACCAAGAAACTCACTTTTCTAGAACAATACCTCGTCACTAGCACTTTGGCATGAGATTGAAATTAATCGTGATTGAAGTAATTTGTTGCGGTGGCAGAACGAGGAAAAATGTGAACTTTTTACGGTTCAAAATTGTTCATCAACGATAAAAATATAAAAAAGAGTTGTAGATATAAAAAGAGATATCTTTGACACTCAACGTGTGCCATTTAATATCGTTTAAGTTGAATTTAATATTTCTTAAATAATCTTATTTAATTATGTGAAATTCTTTCTTACTTTGATTGAGGTCTTGACATTTTAACTTGTGACACGTGCAAGATTCTATAAAATGTTTTAAATTTAAAATCAATTTACAACTCAACATGCCTAACTTCTTTCTCTACCAACAATCATTATTGAATCTCATTGAATAATGATTTATGAGCTACCGAGAAGAAGAACAGTCATGGAGATTTCGTTCAACAAAAAAGAAAAACTAGAGAGGAAATTATATCAGTTACTAGCTCATGTTAGTTAAAGATATCATTAATCAATCATGCAGCTTTCCATTGATCTTTAGCTGTTGTGTTTACAATCTTCTTTGCCTCGCACCATGCAATGAAGCTAGAGAGTAATCATCTTCAACAACCATATATCGTATCTATTGATGTTATTACGTTCTATTATTTGCCCATTTCTCTATGTTGAAAGTAGGATTAAGATCAAAATCAAGTGAGTGAGTCCATTGATGAAAAGTCTTTAAGATGAAACATTGTTCGGATTATACAATTACGATTAATTTGTATCTACTTGTTTTGCATCGCATGTTTTCCTACTTCATTGTACTTGACGCTTGTGATTTATTTGTAAGTCTATCAAAATTCCGTAAAAAATCAGAAGATTATTGACGAAGAACCATAATTCATGTAAGAGAAAAGAAAAATAAATAAAAAAGGTTAATCCGATTACGATTGTTGCGTATTATTCTTCGTTCATCTCCAGGAGATTCCCGCAACAAAATAATAATAAAGAAAAAGCAAACAAGGCACACAAGACTTCAATGATCGACCGAACGATGAACCGAAATCGTATTATGAAAATTTAGAGACGTTGATAAATTGAATTAATTTAGTTTTGAGTGTTGCGCAAAATATATCGCAAAAAGACTTTTCTCTTTCGCATTCCCGCTCTACCCTTTAATGATGGAAAGTTATCTTTGGCGCTTGACGCTCGAAGCTTGAAGTAGAAAAATAAAAACAACACAAATTTTATGCAATCTTTCTAAGCTGAATTAATTAGGACTGTTAATAAAATATCGCGGAGCACGTTTTGTTAATTTATTTAAAGTAGTAAATTACGGATTTCCAATTTAATTAATTACACAGCAGATATTTGTTAACAAATTGAGATAATTTTTGCAATTATTGAGGGAAAATGCTAATTAGTAATCTAGTTCAAGTTTCTGTTAGATATGGGACAGACACTTAGAAACCATCAGTGGAAACTCGAAAAGTCTTCATTCATCGTGAAATTATAGCTTCTCTCACTATAATTCTCATTCTTATTGCATTGAAATGATTTCATCAAAAGTTATTCCATCTTTCTATTCTTCCATCATCTTTACTTAACATCCAACAGAGTTTTAAATTAATAAAGTTTTAACCCAGTCTGACTCGACCCTAAATTAAAAGTTATGTTTTTTAATTAATAAATGTCAAAATAAATGATTAAGAACACAAATGTTGTTTCCTTAAATGTTACTAACATGGATCAGTCGACAGAAGATTTCAAAGGAGGGTCGAGAGTGTTCTCTTCAAGTCAAGCTTCGCAAACGATGATGAATAATTAGAAGTTGTAATTAAGTAATTAATCATCTTTGACCTATGAGTAATTGATTACAATTACAGGTTCTCTCAAACCAAATATTTCCCCTAATTCCATCAAAATCATCTTTAAAATGATCTTGAGATTTGTTATGCTGGTTAAGGGACCAGCGACTCTTAATAAGTTTTGATGTTCATCAATTAAGCATCGTGAAAAAACTAATGAGTTATTTGCCTTTTCCTTTAACTATTTCATAAATTTTGAAATTCAAAAGTCAAAGCTTTCTTTCATAATAGATAATTCGACTCATGCTGAGAGCTTTAGTTAATTAAAAAAAATTAAAGCGGCCAGGAAAGCGACTGTTACAAAAGAGTCAAAGACAAGAAACGAAAACTTTGAATAATGAATTATTTTGGACATTAACGTTTAGTCTTGTTAGCATTTCAGTTAATTAAAATTGTTAAAATTTGTTATTAGCTTATTGACTAAGTGATTAAGTTGATAATTAATTGCATTCAATTTTTTATTTCGATTATTGAAGTCCAAAGTCGTTTCACTTCGAAGTATCGACCTATGCGTCATAAGAATTATTTTTTTATACAAGTTCTCTATCGTTGAGTTTCCAACATTCCACCGACGACTTCACAAGCATTCATTAAGATTGTCACGGGTTCATGAAGACGACGAATGAGTGAACCAAATAACTATAGCATGAATCACGTTGAAACTAAAATTCTATCACCTTTTAAAAGTAGACACGAAGATAAATATGTAAGAGAGGTGGACATAAAGTAACACCAAAGCATGTTGTTATCGCTTAAAGTTTAAACATAGCATACAATGCGACAGTCGGCAGTTTCGTTCTGATTTCTGATATTCATAAATGAATTAACTTAAGTGACTTTAACAACGTTTAGCTAGGAGAGTTTTTGTATAACATAAAAGCTATTAGTGGGATATATTTACAAGTTAGGACAACAAGGAAAGCTTCTCTTTGAAAACCTTCATAATTTCCATCACTTGATATCGATTGCAGTCATGGCCTAAATTATTTTATGCTTCAACTTCTTAATTGACGCTTGCATGTAAAATCACTTGCACATTAACAACTCTCGAATATTTCAAGTTGAAACTCTTCAAAAGTCGATAACACGAACGCAAAATGTTTTCTTCTTCATTCTCGCCTTCAAATAAATTATTCTTTAATTAAAAACAATTAAATTTACACATCAGCACGCTACCTAGGGCTAATTTTGTTTTATTCCATTTTGTAACCGTCAAAAGCTTACCGATCATATTGGTAAAGAGAACGACGATAAAATTGAGAACTAAAGAAAAAAAGGGTTGAAAAAAGCTTCTGAAACGTGAATTATGTTCACTCGATGTCACGAGGAGTTGCGATAGATAAGTAGCAATTCTTGTTCTCGTTAATTTTATTGCGGTTGCCTCGTGAGTGCTCTGGGAAGAGCAGCATCAAGATTAAACGCGACAGTAACGCGCGTGCTGCTAATGAATTAAAGCCAAAAAAAAAAACATCAACAAAAAGCCGAGCGAAAAGAAGAAATTTGAAATCAATTTACAAAGATCTTTATTGTCTGTTGTTGATGTCGTTTTGTTTGATATTCATCCCATTTCATTTTCTATCAAAAACCATTAAGTCACTAATGGAACTTATCTTAAATTCTTTCCTTCTCTATCTTCGTCGTTTTATGTCTGTTTCTTCTCAACAGTTTCAACAGTCAAACCAAAAATAAAAGAGAAGCGTTGCTCTTGCGAGAAAGAACAAAAACGGCAAAGCAAAGAATTTACTTTTTGCGCGCACGTTTCGTGTTGTTCGGTGTGACATGGACATTAGTTTTTATTGAGAGACTTAAGAACTCTTCCGAAGACGACGAAAATATATTTGTCTGATTTATGTTGGATGGACACTTTTGTTTAGTTAACTTTTAGACAAATTGAATGACGTTTCACTCAAATGATGATATAATTAGTGCTTCTCATCTATTTTGTATTCTATAATTTACCCATCATCAAAGCTCATTAATTACGTAGTGAAACATTGTCGTCAGTTGATGAAATTGTTTTCGTTCTTATTCTCGTTTCATTTCGATAATCTTTCTTTGGTGTTCCGGAGCAGCAATGTCGGCACTGCTTTGACTAAAAAGGAGAAATGAAAATTTCTTTGTCGTGCCTTCTGATGACTCACAAAAGAAATTTTTTCGTCAACGATAACGATGGAATGCATCTCAGAATTTAATTTGAGTTTAGTTATACATCGTGGCGCCCTTAGGAATTTTTATTTCGTAATTTGAGACAATTTTAAAGAATAATTCAATAGGAATTGAAACTTACGCGTTAAAATTATTTATGCAGACAGTTGTAAGTGAAATAAATTAACTTATCATTCCCACTTCCGTCTTCATTAATTTACTTTTCATATTGCGTCACAAACTTCTCAATTGTAATGTTTGTACGTCACTTGCTACCGTTTTTAGTCAATAAATATCTACTTGAATGTTTCATTCATACCTCTGAATTTTTTTAAGCGATAAGAAATAAGAAAAAAACTTATTTGGATGTCGAGCGAATATTTTGTTATCGCAAATTTCATAATTTTTATTTTTTTACATCATGACGCAATACTTCAATGTCGATTACGAGTATTCATATCAAAGTTCAATATTTATGTCATTATTTTAAGTTTGGTTATCTATTTAAATGTTTCAAACATGATTTTGTTTAATGTTGTTCTGCCTACTTAATTTTTGTTGTGATAAGACGAGCTACTAAGTGACATGAAATCACGTGTCTTGTAGCGATAAACAGAGGAAACTTTATACACTCTTGAATTGTTTTCAAAGAACAAATAAAAGCCGTATACGCAAAACCGACGGATAATTTAATGTTCGTGTAATTCATTAAGAAGCTATGGTTTGGTCGTTTCCACACATTTTTTTCTCTGCTTTTTGTTTTTGTTGCATGAAATAAAAAAATCGCGATAAGAAAACTTCACGATATTCCCTAATTGTGCTTAACTAATTCATCAAATTATGCGGATCAATATGGAAAATATTTTAAATCAAATTAAAAGCTCGTTTTCTTGTTCAAATTAATCAATCGAGGAGCGAAACTCGTTTCTTAAGTGAAGCCAAATTGATGGAATTTAAAGAAACAAATCGCTAAATTGCATAAAACATTCATTCATAATTGTAACTTTGATTCAACATTGACTCAAGGGGAAAACGAAAAAGTCATAATCGATATTTGCAAATATTTATTACTTATTTGTTTCCATGACGCGCTTAAAAAAACAAATATAAAAATAAAGTTTAATTTCATGCAAATGGGAACAGCAAATAACATTTATTGTCTTTGAATTGGTTTCGTGAGTGTAATTAATTTTGACCAATTAAGTCGACAAAATAATTAGTAAGGATCGCATCGTAAACTTTTCAATACTTTTAAAATAATTAACCGACCTTAGATGTCAATTAGACAAGATCCATTTTTCGCGATAATTTTTACAATTATCTTAGACAGATTTTTTTTTGTCTCCATGAACGAACAACTTACAACCTTGTTTGTTAATAGAATGAAATGATTGTGTCACTTGTAATTGAATCAATCACAACACAAAACAAGTTTTTTTTTTCTTTTATAACATTTATCATCGAAAACCTAATTGACTTTTCATTTCAGATGCCCAAAACAACAATTATACGCTTGTTAACTAATAATTTATCGATGAAATGGCATGTTTAATGTCAATAAAAGATATATTTTCTGATAAAAATTCATTGTTCTGATTCAATTAAGATTGATTAACGGAGAGAGCAACTAAATTTATTGCCCGTTCAAATTAATGTTACACAAGATATTTTGATTAACTGTTTTCATCGCTTTATCGTTAATTAAAGGAGAAGTTTCTACAAGGAAAATGATAAATAATTTATGGAAATTAAAAATTACCTTAAAGCTGCCAGGTACTTGCTATTTAATTTAATTACTTTTTTCTGTGTAGAAAAGTTTATCAACTTGATATTTGCAGTCACTTTAAGTGTTCAATTAGAATCAAGAATGTGCTATTCACAACGATTATTTATCGCACTTTTATGTTAATTAGTTTATGTTGTTCACTTTGTGAAACTTAACAGATTCTTGTTCTTGGAAACAATTTCGTTGCAATCTCCTTTGAATGAAAATATTTCTGAAATGTTGTGAAAGAGTTTTTCTTTTCTAGTTCATCAAAATTCAATTTTCATATTAATTTACACTTTGATTTTTACAAAACACGTTTCTCCTTCACGATTAATTATAATTACATTCAAACTAATTAAATTTAATCATTATTTTTGTGCTCCCTCATATGCTTCTTATTTTTCTTTTCTTTTTGCACAGTAACGGCGATTAAAGTTAATGAGCTCAAAGGTGCAAACAATTTTTAAGAAATGAACAAGCGAAGAAATGAAAATAAAATAAAAGAAAATATTTAACAACGCACAATTCAAAAGTTCGTATTTTCTGAACTGCACAAAGCGAATGTTGAAATTAAACTGAAAACATCGTGAAAACATTCGTTGCTTAAACGAGTTTCCAGGTGAACCTTTCAAAGTGTTGGTGTGATCGGGTATAAGTTTCATGATACTCACACTGTTTCCACAGCACAAATGTTCGAAACATGCCAAGCTCCACCTTGTTTATTTTTTCTTTTGTTTCTTTCAAGTTCCTCGACTACCATTACAAACTATACGACTTCATAATTGGCTTCATAAACGGTGTAATAAATTTAAATATTTTTATTCAATACATGCATCGACGCAGAAAATATGGAAATGAATAAATATCGTAGTAACGGCCATGCAACTTGTAGAATGTGCTTTAGGGAAAATACTAAATATCACAAGAATCAATTAATGATGTTTTATTTTTTGGAGGTTGATTCTGTTGTTTCGCCACGTTATTATATTTAAGAGTCTTCGGTTCATTTAATTTACCAAATTGACATTTTATTATGGAAGTTTAATTAACAATTTTTTAAAACCTATTTCAGCTTGTTTAATTTATTACATAAAAATTGTGACTGGCTGCATCATAACGAGAATTCATTGGCTGAAACTCGTCTGTCCAACATAAACCGTGGAATTTATGAATGGAACAGAAACGATGAGAGGAAAAAAATAAATTTTGAATCATTCAAGATTTATCTTCATTTAACTGGATTTTGAATCGCATAATCGAACTCATTTTAATTTGTAAAATAAATATCGTTACTTTAATTTAACGCTTTCGGTGGAATAAATTGAGAAAATATTGAAATTTATGATTTTTTAATTTTTTTTCTCGTTTTTAGTTTCATTTTTGGCTTCATTCATGAAGAACATTTTCGTTTTGGTTATTCTCGAAAAAATCTTCAAATCCAATTAAAAGTTTGAGGTTTTCAACAAAAAAAAAAAGAAAAGAAATTGAAAAGAAAAAGAGTAAACAAAAGAATTCTTTAAATGGGAACAAAGTTCAGAGATTCGAAATTTGAATAAATGAATTAAGTGTTAAACTATTTTGAAATCATGTCAATCCTTATAAGTATTATGAGGAAATATTATGAGGAATTTTGGACACAGGAAACATCCATAAAAGTCTCAATCGAGGCATTAACACTGGCGCTGAAATAATACGATCAAAATCAAATACAAATACAAGCGATTAAGTTTCAAACAAACGAAATCTAATAAAATCTCGTTCGGTGTAACAAAAGGAGAAAACGTGAATTGGGCAACAAGCAACATCAAAAAACCCCATAATCAATTTCTCAGTCTTATAATTTTCTTGTCTACAACTGCAGGAGGTCCAAAAAACTTTACGTGATCTGTACCTGAAACCATAGAGTTAAGGCCGACTCACATTTAGTTGCATCTAATGATGTTGATCTTCTCACTAATTGCTTGTTAAGATAATTTCTAAGAGAGAAAATAAATTTTAATCTCAACACTTGCAATGACAAAGCGATAACATAAATAATATTTTAATTTATTTGTGACACTTTCCTGCCACAACACGACAACTGTCAAATGGTCATTGGAATCATCAACATCCAATTTCGTTAATCAGATCGCATCAATCACGAAACATAAATTGTGATGAGAATCGAGCGCTAAAAGTCACGCTTTGAAAATGCAATCTTTTTTCGCCAGACCATAAATTGCCAGCAATTTTCACTCAAATCATTTTTCAGCCATCCAATAAATAAAATTATGATACATTTACATGATTATTGATTTCCACGTTTCGCGCGCGAGGCCACTTTTCTCGCTCGAATGATATGAAACTGACTTTTTACTTCAAGATCAGCCACAAAGCATTCGATTATGAAAAAATGTAGTTTAATGTAATTTATACAAAATAAATTATTGATAATCTCTTTTATAAACAGAAAGGCATAATACTGATGTTAAGTCATAAATTATGGATTTTATTCTCAGATGATGAGAGAATATAAGAAGAAGATGATAAAAAAGCTTTTTGAGGTTTCGGGGAAGATTTGTATAAAGTGTTTTATTGCAACCTCAAAACCATCATCTTTCTTTTAGAAAAATATCAAAGCTTAATTCTGAGTGCTTTCATAAAGTCGACATGGCTAACGTTGAAAATTTGAGAACCTTAAATACATCATTTTATGTTTTGATTCCATCCTTTTTCATCAAGAGTTCATATTTCTCATTTTTCCCATCACATCCTAATTTAAAACATTTAGTTTCTGATGTTTGCATTATCATTACATTTTTTATTCAAATTATTGCAATTTTATGCTGGTCTGGTTGAGGCTCATTAATTTATTTTCCACAGAATCACTTTTTTTTTTGTTAATGCAACGATTTCCTGCCACAACCAAATTATGGTCAATTCTCATTCAATTCCATATTAACAATAAGATGCAGAAATTGATACAAATGAGAATCAATTATAGAATATTCGAAACAGTTTCTAGAATACTCAACACTCATAATTATGAGTCGAGGAAAAATTCTTGATTAAGTTGCCTGCAAATTGAACTCATTAAGTTAATAACATCAACACTTGCTTTTAATGAGATTCACTGACAAGAAAAATTAAAAGTTATAGTGAATAATAACACAATGAAATTAAATTAAAATTGTTATGACAGTCGCTGACCGTCAGAACCAACATCAAGAAATGTTTAAGAATAATTTTGCATTGCTTTAAGTACTCTCATAACTTTAACGACGTCATTGTCATAAAACTTTTTTTTTTATTTTTTCGATTTGCGGTTAATTGAAAATTCATTAACATCAAAGTTCAAAATTGAGTTCAACTCACTTTTTATTTCAAAATTTTATGACATGCTAAGGTGATGAAGGGAAACTTCTCAAATAATAAAAAGTTTAAACTGTTTGGAAATTAAGAGTTTGCAAAAACTTCATTTGAAAGAATTTCTCTGCTGAGAAGTTCAGTTTCGTGTCATTCTTTCAACCAAATACGACACACAATTATCGAAAGGTGTCAAGAATCTACTGAGAAATAATTGAAGAGCTCAATTATTGACACTTGAGCTCGATCTCACCACATTTCAACTCCAAATGCCTTTGGCTGTAAAATTATATCTCCCGAGCATAGGAAATTAAACAAATTGTTTTAATTCAAACTTAATTTCCTGTTAATTTTCTTTAACCGAAAAACCACAGACAGCAGAGAACAAAGCAAACATAAAATTGAACTTGTATCTCGCTCACTCTCAAGCACGCAATTTTGTCAATCAATTTTTATGGCACAATTTTTTTGTCGATGCCCTAATAAAAATTTTATTCAATTTTCCTCGGATTTATGGAAGCTTTAAGTGGCAAAAGTGAACGGTCATGAAACGTAATTTCTTATTGAAGTTTTTTTTTAATTAAAATTTGTATCAGAAATCTTTTTATCATCCATCAGCATTCGCTTTTGTAGCATGTCGAAAAAAATCAGTTCGAGACGAGTACGTGATTGTGTTAAACGTGCTCAACAATGGACCATACAATCGTTTTTAATTTTTATTGACAAAAATCATAAACGTAAGCAGCAACAAGCGATGATTGAATATTGTCGATGAAATATCGCTTTTTGAGGTTTTCCACGATCATCATCGTCTCACTGTTGATTTCGTGTAAGTATTCAGCGGCGCATTCTAACCGAAACCAATCGCTCAAACAGCCCAAAATTCAATAATGAAATTAATTTTTTTTTCTTGTTGAACGACTCATAATGGAGATAAAAATTGCTTCTTGACGCTACCTCTTTCAGTTGTCCATGCATCATGTTTGTAATTGGGATATCTTTTTACTTCACTTGCCTCCCTTTCGAAATTCATTGTGAGCGAAATAGAGTTAATCAGATAAATATCTCGCTTACTTGACTGTACATGTTTCAATGAATTGAAGCCAAACATGAAATGAAGCTTGTTACGATGTTGCGGTTTCTCTCGCCACTGTCTTGTTGAATTTTTAATAAACGAAATTAGAGCTACATTCTCTGTCTGAGCTTAAACAGTTCACAGGATTTGCAAACATCGAATCAGCTGAATAAAATCTCAATTAAATGCTTATATAGCAACTTCAATTTTTACTTCAGATTGGGGTGGTAGTTTAATTGTCAGAATAATCGTCTTATGATCGAGAGATGTGGGTTCGAATCCCGCCCACTCCATTAAATAATACTTTTTCATAATTTCTTTATTCATTTATTCATTTATTGTTTTAAACTTTTGTTTTCGACGAG